GGGATGGACAAACAAATTGTCATGGGATTATTCAGAAATTCACTTTACCGATAGCAGTTACCTCATCTTGAGCAAATACTTGCCAATGGTAAATCGCGACTGGAGTTCTGACCCTGGGAGACAGATGGCAGTGAACGTTTCTCTCTCCCTCGTAATTTTCAAATTCAATCCGTAAAAAAGCGCAACATCTGTCTCCTATCTTTTACGACTCTCGTCTTCTGCACCTCACGTGTCTCCCCTTTTTATCACGATAAGGCCACATTTCGATTTTCCCAAGTGAAACGAGACAAAGCTACCAGATGCACTAATTCAAACTTCCGGCTGCGAAAAATCTGGCAAATATCCAGAAAATAGGAGTTATTTTGCAGCCGTGGAAAACCAATTTTTCCGTTCATTTATAGGTCTGAAATTCCGAGTATCCTTCACCTCAATCCCTCTGCGTAATCGTTTCACCCAGAAACGTGTGAATGAATTTTATTTTCGAAATTATTCGCATTGTTCAAACGAATGAAACTTTGACGCAAATCTATTCCGGTTGATGCCTACGGCATTTAACAAACGATCGTTGAGGATAAAAAAAAATTCTTAACGACGCCGTTAAAACTCAACTAGCACTGGCAAGATGGCCGCAGCTGGTGCCTCGCTCCAGTTCGGACCACCGAGAAGGGGGTGAAATACAACGGCTTATATCACTCCGCCCCCTCGTTCCCCCATCGCTGAATATGACTCCAAAATATAAACGATATCCGATAAAAAACAAACAGGAATTTGGAAAAATACCTTCTTCCTTGAAATAACACTTCCTCAAGCTGTTCTAATCTCCCTACTCAATCAATAAACAAACGTATCACCCATTCATATTTCACTGAAGTTGGATAATTACATTCGGATAAATTATAGAAGTACGAAAAGTGGTTATTCAAAGTGAGCCTAAGGTCGGAGCTGGGAAACAACTACAACATTGCGGTCCTGCTGAGTAAATTGTTTACATCTTCTCCTGTGCCTTCGAACTGAGTGTAAAATTATGCTCTCTCGACCGCAGACGCATCCCAGAAACACACGCTCTTTGAAATTGTACGTTTTCTGAAATATACCGTGATACATCGTGTGCACATTTATGAGAGAAAAATTACTGAAGTAAATCCAATCTTTTTGAAATAAATAATTATTACAAAACTACTATTACAAAATGTCGACAATTTTTTTGCCCATTATCTTCGGTTAGTTGCACACACGACAGGAACAAAATAAATTGACAATAATTTCTAATTGCACCGTTGAAACAAATCCAAATTTCACCCTATGAGAGAAACCCCGCCGTGCGTCATTTTTCTTTAATTACAATTGACTGGCGAAACGGAGAAATTGAAAAAAAATTAATTTCGTCAATTGAAGTGTGTAAAAAATTATTTTAGTTTTTAGAACAACATATTTCCCAAAATTCCTGAAGAAAACAAATTATTTTGGAGAGATGAATTATGTTTTCCTATGTTAAATGAAATTGCGCATGACGTGACGTTGCCGGAAACTCGCTAAACGCGTCCGGGCAGTGTAGAGTGAATTCGGCAACGCTGGAGACTAAATAACGGCGGGGAATCCCCGCGGAGGTGACCAATGCGCAGAATCGCATTCGGTGACCAGACGAGGGTTAAATTCGATTTAGGGGAAAAAAATAATGAAATTTCACTAAATTGAGATTTCCTCAACTTGCACTGAATTCGCCGGATTTCTATTCATCTTCATGGAATAATTCCGATGCAATGCACAATTTCCATAAATTTTTTCATCAAAGAAAAAAATTTATCAAAAAATTGATTTCTTCCCCTATTTTTTCTAGTCTACTCTCTTTCATCCCCTTTTCCTACGCCACAACTGGATATTTCAAGCAGTGTTTTGATAACATTGTAAACAATTTAGGACTACTGTAACTCGTTCATGCTGTCATCGAGCTACCAGGGGAGTGCGTCCTCGAAAGAAGAGGAACTTCAGTTAGAAGGGGATTTTTGAGATGAGTGCTAAAAGCCAGTGGATCATAACCAGGATACCACGCTGCGAGTAAACAGACCTTAAGAGGCCCCCGGGACTTTCCATAAACAGAATTAAATTGTTAATCCTCGGTTAATGACTCAGGGAATTTAAACGCATTGGCATCAGTGGGGAGGGGGACAGCGTAGGATAGGACGAGGAGGGAATGTTATTTGGAATTGGAGAAAATGAATCGATTCAAGAGGCCTCAAAACTTTGCACGCTTTCCGAAATAGCTGAGATCGTGTAAACATCGTCTTATTTCGGATTCGTTCTTCCCCTCGGATGAAACTGCGGTTCTAACTTGCTATAGTGATCAGAAAGAAACACTCACCAGACGCTACTGAGGCTTTTCGAGAGTGAAGGATTTATAATTAAATTTTCATTTTTAACTGTTGAAAAATTGAGATATAAATCCGTATTTACATTTTTTTAGTTGTTAAGACTGAATGAGTTGGAATAATAATGTTCGTGCTGGTAGAAAAAATTACAAAATTGCGACGGGAAAAAATTTAAAGAGAATTTTGATACTCTCATTTTTTTTTCAATGAAATTCTTGGCAAAAAATGATGAATTAATTTCTTAATTAAGTTACAACAGAATTCATATTAAAAAATTCTCAATACTGAATAACAATTTTTTGGGAATTTTAAACTATTTTTTCTCGCTGAAAATTAATCAATTTTACGTCAAGATTGAAAATTATAAAATAATTTAATCATCACGCGGAACGCACTTGATTTAATTTGCAAGTTCAAAAAGACTTGTCAACGATACAGAGCTCGCGAAATTTCAAACAACCCGTTACATTTTTTAATTACAAAGTTGCACATGCGAATGAGAAATATTGATTTATTTTTCTTTCGTAATGGAGCATTCGGGGGTAACTTACAATGTTTGAAGGTAACATTTGAATATGAAAAGTTGAAAAGTCAAAGGGAATGAATGACACTGAGGGACACCATAGGGTCTCAGTACCAGACGTGTACGATCAGTGGTATAAAATTACGGATATCGTGTAAACAGCGTTGTCGGCGCGTCTGATGGCCGCTTGGGTGGCCCCGTCGTTTTTCCCTCGGCTGTGAGCGAGAGCTTGCAGCCTCACGTGCTCCCCAGAGTTAGTGCCACGAGGCACTAACCTTCCTTGGCTTCCTCCCGATCGCATAAAAGACGAAGAAAGATCGAACGGAATCAGTAAAAAAAAATCATTCCAATTGGGGAGATGAAGAAATACGATTTCTCTCTTCTTGAGATAAGAATAAGGAGGACAGAGCACTTATGGGTCTTATGTATCTCCTGGAGCTTTACATGAGGACACCCGAAGGCGTAACGGTAAACAGAAGCACTCCACCCTTGAGGCCCAGGGGGGTTGTGGAGGGGCGGACAAGTGGGTGGACCAGAAACCACTTGACATTTTTCGAAAATTCCTCAACCCCTTATACCACACGCAGACGCATAGCACATAAATTATAACAAGTGGTTGGAGACTCCCGGAGACAATTTTTTGAGAATTAAAACGTGTAAATAAACTTCTGATGAGTTAGTCACGGAGATAAAAATTATTACGTTGTGATTAAATTACTTTTTAATTTTTCAATCGCGATGTAAAATTGTAATTGAAACATGTGGATAAACTTCTGATGATTTAGTTGTGGAGATAAAAATTATTACGTTTTGATTAAATTATCTTTTAATTTTTCAATCTCGATGTAAAATTGGTTAATTTTCAAATAGAATTTTCTGTTGTTCTACGAATTCAAATTATATGCATGACAAAAATTTCTCACACATGACTTTCACCTTAATTTAATTTTCTTATAAATTTTCACGATAAAAACACGAATTTTAAGCGCGATTTAAAGGGGGTCAAATCTGTAAATCTATTTTCTTTTATTCTTTGATTGAGAATTTCAGAATTTTCATGAGAAATTTGTATATAAAATAGATTATTCTCCCGAAAATTAAGAACTTCAGAGCAAAAAAATTCTGAGAAAACAAAGGTTTGTATGACCTCTAATATCGCTTAAAATTAATGTTTTGATGGCAAGGATCTACCGAAAAAATGAAAAATGGAAGTAATTACGAGGTACGTAATTGCTGCAAATGTATTGAAAATTCAACCACTGACATTGAAGATGAATGATCCCCCTATTCCATGCACTCCTCTCTCCACTTTATTCTCAACTCTTTTATAAAAAAAAAGGTTTCAAGAATTACCCTAAATACACGACAAGGCCCAAACATGCGTCCTGTCACCTCTCTATCACCACATTACTCCTTCCAACCCAAACAAATCCAACATTGACGATCCGAGGAGAGAGGCGTGCTCCGTGCCCTGAGAGACCAAGAGCCCGAGATAAATATCAGAATTAAATCCCACTCTCCCTTGCTATCTAATCTCTGAATATCTCTATGACGTCTTTGTGTCATTCGAACTGGCATTACGCATAAGGAATAATAAACAAAACTCTTTCGGCCGACTCCTCATTGACGTGAGTCACTCGAGAAGAAGAAGACCAAGCGCCTCGGTACAATACCACGCCGACAGTTGTATCGATTACCGCTCGATTTGTCTTACAACTCAATACCTCAAACCAATAAAACAAAAACCATCAAAAAATTGCCAGACCAATAAAAAAAAATTACCGATTAATTTTTTCTTCTCCCGACCAAAAACCTTGAATATGCAAGACAATTCCCCAAACGCGAAATAAATGAAAAATCAATTAACAATCTATTAAACACCAAAATAGAAGAGATAAAGGATTGATAATCCTACGAAACCTGTCATATCCCCCTGAAACCTCACGATTGGATCGAAAGCCCCATCAATCCCAGCAAAACCGACCACTCACACCGGCCGAACCCGAGAATCCCCACCCAGAGGCGTCTCTAACCCATCACGCCACACCCCAGCCTCATTGAATCCTCTCCTCATCCGATCATCTCGGTCCACCAGTCATCCGCAACCCTCACACGCGACACTTCCTCTCCCATCCAAACAACTCCATAATCAATCCTCTACATCCCCAAAACCCCAAACAGTTTACACTAACCACTCTCCCATGTAAACAATACCTCCTCCGCAAGCCTTGACCCCAAGCCCCCCGGATTAATAAAGCCACTGGAGCTATGTTAACTGTAAGTGATAAGTGACCAAAAAATCCCCTCACCAATGTACGACAACTACCTTAACGCCAAGATGAAGAGCGATGTGGAGGCACCGTCACTCCACCTGCACGACCACCTGACGTCATCCCCAAGTGTTCACCCCCTGGTGTCGAGAAATCCGTCGAGTGTAATCTCATCGCTATCCCAGAGTGATACCCTGGTGACGAGTGCCCCGGAGACCCCGCGAAAGCCAGGTGCACGTCGCCAGGAGAAGCCCCCCTACTCCTACATAGCGCTGATAGTAATGGCAATACAGTCGAGCCCGGACAAACGATTGACCCTCTCCGAGATCTACACATTTCTCCAGCAAAGATTTCCCTTCTTCAGGGGAGCCTACCAGGGCTGGAAGAACTCGGTGCGCCACAATTTGAGCCTCAACGAGTGCTTCATCAAGCTGCCGAAGGGCCTGGGAAGGCCGGGCAAGGGCCACTACTGGACGATTGATCCGGCGAGTGAGTACATGTTCGAGGAGGGGAGCTTTCGCCGAAGGCCCAGAGGTTTCAGGAGAAAATGCCAGGCCCTAAAGCCCCAGTACTCGCAGTACTTCCCCGGGGGGGCGCCCATGGGAGTCGGGGGGGCTCAGCCCCCCGGGTACGACAACATCCCTGGCTCGGGGGTTGATTATTCAAATGGCTATCAGAATCAGTACCAGAATTATCAGGAGTACGCTTCAATGTACGGAGCTGCTGCTGCTGGAGCTGTTCCAGAGTGGAGTTCCTATCCTGAGACCCCCTACAAACCCCCACCCCCGCCGATCGCTGAAGTGACGTACAAAACGACTGAGGTAACGTACAAAACTGGAGAAGCCTCGTTGTACAGAAATGGAGAGATTGCGTTCAAGAATGAGCCGTACGTCAGGGGTCAGGATCAGCTTGCCTACCGGCCCAATGACGGATTTTTGAGCAAGGAACATGGCCAGGGACAGGAGGCGGTGGGGTACAAGACAGAGAGTGATAACGAGGGCCTCATGAGCTGTAATTACAAGTGTGGGAGCAGTGGACAGCCACAAATTCCACAGCATCCGCAGGATTATTATGTTGGGTATGGACTTGGGGGCAACTGTGGTAATATCAATGTTGCGGCTATGAGGAGTCTTCAAGCTCACACTGGGGGGAGTAGTTCGGTTGGGAATATCAGCTCGCCGTACAGTGACTGCCCTACGCCCGCTACTGATCATGGTATGTGTTGATTTTAATATTTGTTTTTAATCGTTTTTCTGGGATTCAGGGGGGGGGGGGATTTTGAGGGTGATGTTTTACATTTAACGTTTTTGTAAATTGATCGCTCGCGGATATGTCCAGGAAACATTCTGTTATAAATTCCTGACAAAAGATATCTTTTGAGATTTTTCCCTGAAGTTAACAGTGATGGTTTCGCAATTTTTTTTTCGATGGGTATCAAAATTCAATGAAAAATTGGGGACACACTTTTTTTCTATTTCGATAAATAATGAGTCTTAGCCAATTGAAAATGTCGGCGTTATGACGCCATGACCTCACAGCAAAAACGAATGACTGAATTTCAGATGAACAGGTGCATAAACATCTTCATTCATTCATCTTAATTCACAAATTTGCATTTTATTCAAACGATTTTTAGTGTCTGAAAAATGTCTACAAAAGGTGTGTGAAATTTAGATATTTGTTTTTGCTGTGCTAGACATTTTTTTAATCGGCTGTATATTCTCAGCTTTCCATCATTTTTTCATCCAGTTTTCGCACTTCATCATTTCATTCAACGAACAAATTCTCAAGTTGTATGAAAAATACTTTTTACGTTTGACTTTTTTTGAAATTAGAATGAGTGAAGATCAATTCAATTAAATTTTGTTCTTTTGTATTCAATTCAGGAATGGAGCCAGTAGAGAAGAATTTCTTTACCGTAAAGAACAGGAAATAGTCAAATACATAAAAATTCTTCAAGATCAAGAGACATTTGAGAGAATTTTCCCCTCTTGATCTCTTTTCTCCTTTCTCTGCCTTCATTTCTGTTTTGAAATACGTAACACGAGATCACTCTGTCCCCGCGAAAAGGGTAGAATGCACGACCTGTTGGTGGTACCGGTCACATACCACCCATAGAGCCTAGACTAAATGTGTTGACTTTAACGAGCGTCAATTTTCCATGGCTGTCGAGAAGGATCAGCAAGGATTCAACGACGCCGGGCCATGTGGGAAAAACGGGGAAACTTTATGAGTTCAATGGGCGCCAGCCTACCCGTAACATAAAACTGTCATATCCCTTTATTCCTGAATCTTGAGACAAAAATTTCTCATTCGTTTACTACTCTAAACTTTCCCTCAATCTCAGAAAGTCAAAATATTGAAAAAATCCCAAATTCAAATTCAATCGGAAAATTTATGAAAAAATAAATTACCTCATTCATCATTATTATTTATACTTGTGTTATGCAAATTGGAGTCTTGCTCAAGTGTCTCGAAATTGTTTATTAATTTTGTGAGTTCGACGACTCGGTTCAGTGAAACGGAAGAACGTCGTCGTCTGAAACCGACGGGACGTGACAGCGACTATTAGCTCCGGTGACAGTTAGCTTTTTAACGCACTCAACACGTGTCCCCCGAGCTTCAAAAAATCATCATCAATGTCACAAACTCCCCCAACAAAACCTCAAGAGATAAAAAATCAAATTCGTGGAACGATAAATCAATTTCATCGCAATTTTCCGGTGCTAAACTACAGAGATCGCACTCTAATTGTGAAAGAGGAAGAAAAAAATTGAGTTTCTTTCATAAACTCATATCGCTTAAGTAGTCACACTCGGGGGAGTGCGATCCCGGGCCACCTATCATCAAAATGTTTACAGGTTCGATAAACAACGCGTTCTTTAATCCACTCTTACTTCAGAGTGGATTTAAACCGCGATTACATGTTCGTTAATTTGTCAAGAACATGAGCTGCTTTGATGAATCTCGAGATTCTTCCGATGTTTTTACGTATAAACCAAAGGAAATAGTTGTTTTTTTCAATCGAAGGCAGAAAAAATATATTTGAATTGAGTATATTCGGTTATTGATTGAATGGATGGCAAATCTCATGCTTAAATAAAGGATATCCAAGTGCCTTTCATTATTCAAATTTGAAAATTTTCAAGATTGTTCAAATTCATTTTTTACCAACAGTTTAGCAATCAAACTACATCAGGAAAACTCAAAAAATCATGCGTAATCATCGTAATTCAGTTTACATTTTGCAAAAAATAATTTTTTTCAACGTTTCTTCTCCATAAATAAATAATTAAAATTGTATAATCGATTTCTGGGAAAATTCTGAATATTCACAATTTTTTTTATTCTGTGGAGGATAATGTCAACCTTTGGAAATTGAAATTTTCAATTATTTTGCAGATTTTCCGCAAAAATTTGACTTTTTATTTTTTTCGCATTTATTAAATATTTAAAATAGAGACCTTCAAAGTTCAAATAATACTCAAATTGGGCTTGAACGTAAGATCGATAGTTGACTACAAATTTTGGAAAAGATTTCACCGAAAAAAAATACAAAATTACTTGGATATCCTCAATGATATTAATATACCAGTATTCTGTAAATTATGTCAATTTTTTTCGTAAATCGGACATAACATTCTCAACTGAAATATAAAAATACCTGAATCGAGTGTATTTTATTCTTGATTAAAGAATAATATCCTCAATTCAAGTATAAATAAGCGCCTCATTCATTCAAAAATATCCAATTGACACACGTCCATATTCTCAATTCTCCTAAATCCGCAACGAGCCCGAATTTCTGATTCAGGTAAATCATTTCATTTCAGATTGGCCATATGCTTAGTATCGTGAATGCGAGATCAATCCGCACGTTTCCCCGCCGATTTTTATTTTCATTTTTCAACTCCTCGAGTATTTCCGGAACACTCAATTCAACTTGCGGAAATAAAAATCAAATTGGTACTCACCAAACCCAGCAGTTCGAACTCTCAGCTATTTCTCTGCATTTTTTATGATCCTATGGAGATATTAGAGGACCGCACGCGAAGAATTCCTTCTGCAAATGTTTTTTCTCACTTCACTTCACTTCATTTCACTTTATTTCACTCAATGTCTTTTTCTGAAACAGAAAAATAAAAACTCGTTGAATAATAGGAAATAGTGATTGAAGAAATGAGTCCCTCCCCAAATTCCGTGTTGCTAGAGAGATTCCAATCTGAATGGAGCCATTGAATCATAACTCGTGACTAACGCCTAAACCTGTCGTCAACAATTTTTTCATTTATTTTCATTTTCATGCATTATGTCCACTTCTCTCGATCCTAAATTAGGGGAATTATAGTCAATAAATTGGTAACGCTTGTCTGAGGTGGTACTCGAGATCTCTAGGGAAAACTTTGATAAAAGAGAGAAAAGAGACAGGAGTCAAGTGTTTTCGTACTTGAGGCATCAACTTGAGAACATGGTTCTCTCTCTTTGAATATCATTTTTTATCATCATCTGTGAGAATTGTGTGTGGTCCTCTCTAAAATGGAGTAGTGTAAAAAAATAAAAACAGAAGGTTTGGCGGAACTCGTGCATTTCAATTTACAGAAAAAAAATAATGTAATTTAAAATTTCACTGAAAATCCAACGGAATTCCGAATTTTCCACTAAATAAAAATTCACGAATGTGTTTCCCTGAATTTCCCTAATAATGTTATTAATTTTCATGGAATAATTGAACTGAAATTCAGAGATTCCATAGATTTTCAATTATGCAATGTCTGGAAATTTCAGTGGAACTGTCACTCTATTCGATTATTTTTTTTCAGGGCTGAGAATTCAGAGCTGTAGTTCGAGTTCCAACAGTTCAGGTGGTGCCTTAGTAGAGCGAAAATCCTCGTACCTCGGACACACACCAAGTTCTGTATATTTCATCTAATGAAAGAGCAGACACCATCGACACCAATCACTTCACCAAAAACTTGACGCAAAGTTGTACCAAAAAATGTGCCTATTTATATTCATTATCATCAGCTCTAACTAAAGAAAAAACTACAGTTAAATTAAGACTAGGGATTAAGGAAGGATCATCTGTTCTGTAGAATAAAGATATTGTTTGCTAAAAAATATTCACTGCATTTTTCCCACTTCGTTTGAATTTCGAATGGAGATAAGAAGATAATGTGGCAACACGTTGCATCCAGACGTGCAGTGGAGTATTTGTACGGGACCCAGAATCACTCAAACGATCGTAAAAAACGTGGTAGCATGCGGGATGGGTACATAAGGGGGTAGTTCCACGTGGTGGTCACTCCACTTGTTCAAACATTCGGATTTTTTGACATTGAAAAAAACCCTACTTCAAAAATTTTTCATTCAGCACCGAATGCTTTCGTCAAATTCTTTCTACACGGAGTGAAATGTTCAGTAAAAATTATGGAACTCACAATTCACTCACCGATTACGGAATCGATTCAGACAATTTAAGTGACGATATCGTAATTTTTCACAGGAGATTCGGATAAAAATTACGGACCACTCCGAAAAAATTCCGTGACAGTTCCGTAAAATTTCCTACAACCACATTTCGCTCCGAATTACGGAAAAGAGACGTAATTTTTATTGAATATTTCTCTCTGTGTATCAAAATGACTTTTCCTCAAAAGCCCCCACCGAACAGAAAATTATTGTTCACGAAAAACTGAATATTTCTGTCAAATTCGTCAGAGGATAGAAAACTGAAAATTTCTTCGTAATTGCATGAGAAAATCAAATTACAAATGAATCAACAAATTAAATTTTAATTTTGCAGTGCAATTGAGCATAAATAGCCGACAAAATCCAGAGAATTTCTCAAGGCTTTGCATTTTGCGAAGAATTCATTAAAAATTGAATTTAAAAAATTCTAAAAGTGTAGTTAAATGTCCTGCATTTCGATAATCCATGCAATAATCATGTAATTAATTTCTCGAGTCGTTAACTCCCTCCAATAATCGCCTCACGTTTCTCAAATTCTTTTTTTTTCCTCATTGATATTTACACGATAAATTAAACATCACGACACAATCTGCAACGGCTGAAGGCATGTGGCGTACGTCGGCAACACGAAGCAGATTTCAGCGGTGCGGCAAGCAGATCTCAGAACCGTTTAATTTCCCATTAATTCATCCTCCACACCCAGACCCCAAATCCCACAGCATCTATTTTCCCCCGAAATATTCCACGAAAAAATCTAAAATTCCCTCTTGACAAATAGCGTAGGTCAGTGAATAATCCCACAGACTTGCTCCATGTAAATCGTTTTTTATGGAGAGAAATAAATAGATAAGTGGTAGTGGGTGAAACTTTACTTGGAGGATCGTCACGACGTGCAAGCGGAGCCACTCAACGAGCCTGTTGACAGCCCCGCAACATTGTCCTCAATCCTCCACCTCTCTACCTATTTTTCAAATTTTAATATCCAGAGGAAGAGTAGTATAGTATTGAGTCGAGAAGCGGAAACTCGAGAGGAAAAACTAGAGTAAAAAAAAGAGGAAGGGATTTTTTGAGAAAATAAACGGTCTAAGACATCTCAGGGCATCCCTGCGAGAAAATGACTAGTTTCAAGTAAAAAATGCTCAAATTGTTGAAAAATAATTCACATGGAATTTCCACATGCATTATTATTGACAAAGCACTTAATTTCTGGAATGTTCAGTGAAATTCCATTTTAGAAGTGCGCATGACAGTGAAAATAATTGAAAATTGTGAGAATTCAGAGAACTATTGTTCTAAATTCCCAGTCGATGAAAATTCCAAGCTCTCAGTGATTTGTTAATGATCGCTCGACATGAAAAACACAATTTCTTGAATTTTCAAGATGAATGAAAAGTCTCTTTACCTATTTCTGAAAATTTAATGCTCAGAGGGAAAGTAGCATTGAGTCGAGAGGCGGAAACTCGAGAGGAAAAACTAGAGTAGAAAAAAGAGGAAGGAGGTTTTTCGAGAAAATAAACTGTGAAAGACATTTCAGGCCATCCCTACGAAAAAATGACTCTTTAAATGTCAAGTAAAATTGTAAACAAATAATTCACATGAGTCAATTTCTGCAATGTTCAATGAAAATCCAATTTACAAGTACCTGACAGTTAAAATAATTGAAAATTATGAAAATCTAGGCAACTAGTTTTTTACTTTCAATCTATCGAAAATTCCCATGCAGTAGTTTTTCAAGTTTTCCGACAGTCCACGTAATCTTGAAACGAAAAAGAGAATAAAGAATAAATAAACCAATAAATAAAGACGAATGATAAAAAAACAAAATAAAGAGCCGAATCAAACAGTTCTTAAAAAATTTTCAAACTAAAAAAATTCAATTTTAAAAAATGTAAGTACAAATCAATCAAAAACAGAAGAATTGGGTCGAGTGGAGAAACAAGAGTAAAAGGAAGGAGGTATCTTCAAAATAACAAACTTTCGAACCCATTTCCTCACCTTCAAAAAAAACTCCAAGCAAGAAGGAAGCGAAAATAACCCCAAAAAATCCGAAAAATCGTCGAATCAGTAATTCACAACTACTATTCAATCATCAGAAATATCAGAATGCGGTGACAAGAGCACAACACCATCTTCACCCTCACCGCCTCTGTTTATTTCTAAACACAAGGACAAAGAGAAACAATGCTACCGATCCAGCTGCACCTGTATATTTTCTCGCCATCTGTTTATTTACATCGTTCCCACTACAATGGGGAGACAATTCCCCCAAGACCAAAAAAAGACTCCAAACAATCCCATAAACCCAGAAATTTTTTCCAACTCTCCTTCAACGTTAAAGACTTGAAAATTGTCGAAATGCGCGTGATCCCCCGTTCGTAAATAATCACTCAATGAGTGTGTATAATTAAGCCCTCGACTACTATTGTATATTATTTTCACTGCTGTAGTAAACATACTTACATTAAACGTTTACAAACTGCTCATATCACCGGGTTCGACGTTCTCGAGATGATTTAAACACGCAGAAGGCGAGAACAAAGGGCTGAGTGACGACATCTTGCTGAACTGCTTCGAACCCCCACTGTCGTCCGCCAGACGGCGGCAGAGGCCACTCAACGGATAAAACAGGCGTGAGAATAGCCGAGAATGGGCATCGGGAATATTCGAACTGGCGAGCCCTCAGTCCCGAAACGAGGGAATGGCGACCAGCTGTGAATTACCTCCGACAACTCACTAACACTTTTTACCGGAATTAACTCTGACTTTTCAGCATCACGGTCACACCATCATGGAAGAGATCCTCGCGAATTTGCTGGTGCCTGACAACACCATTATTCAGCAGGTACGAACACTAATTTCATCGAATTAACTAATTAATTCTCACCAATGACTCATGAACTAAACACGTGCTCATTCGGCTTTTGGAGTCACTCAATCATCAATTCAGTAGCGAAGTGGTAAAAGGGTTTAAGTCGGCTCATCTTCCAGTTGAGTTTTTGAGGAATATTTCCGAATCTAAGGGAGATGGCGAAATTTTCGTAATTGCGTTTGTTGTAGCCCTCAATCAGCCCTACAAAAAAGGTCATAATAAACATTTTGGTATCACCCTTAGATTCCGAGATATTCATTGAAAACTGGCCAATAGTCAAAATTGACTTGAACCGTTTTATTTAAATTAATCGTTTATTTAAAGGGAACTGCGGAGTTGAGGGCAGCCCTGACCAAGCCCGAGAGCACTCCGATGCTGTGCGAGCTGATCGTGTCCTCGGGAAACCCACAGGTAGTCCAACAACCTCTGACAGATTGGCAGAGCGATCGAACTGATTGAATTCATCGGGGATTTTGGGAAACGAGATGAGTCGACATGAGGGGGTGGATTTTTCTCAATTCTTTTTCATTTGAGGCACACAGAGGAAGCTTTTTCTTCTGAGGATTGATCTCGTACAGAATTGAGCATTATGAACAATTCAGAAGAACTTCAGTAAAAAAATTGTTTCATCAATATTCTTTGAAAAGGGCTGAAATTTTATGTACACTAGTCAAATTTTCACGAGAACGAAATTGAATTCTTCATTTAAAAAAAAAGATGAAATTTATAATTTCACTGGAAATTTACTGACACCTCAATTTTTTTAATTTCCCAAGTTGCTTGAATGTTAAATTAAAACATGAATACACATTAAATTTTAACGGAGTGATTTTTTCATAATTCTTTTCAATTTGAGCCACACAGGGATTTTTTTCTTCTATGAATTGAATTAGTACGTTCAACTGCAGAAACTCAACAAGACTAAGAATAATCAATAACAGAATTGAGCATTATAAACAACTTAAAACAACTTCAGCAAAAAAATTGTTTCATCAAAATTGTTTAAAAAAGACTGAAATTTTATGTACGTTCAACTGCAGAAACTCAACAAGACTAAGAATAATCAATAACAGAATTGAGCATTATAAACAACTTAAAACAACTTCAGCAAAAAAATTGTTTCATCAAAATTGTTTAAAAAAGACTGAAATTTTATGTACGTTCAACTGCAGAAACTCAACAAGACTAAGAATAATCAATAACAGAATTGAGCATTATAACCAATTCAAAACAACTTCAGCAAAAAAATTATTGTTTCATCAAAATTGTTTGAAAAAGGCTGAAATTTTATCAGCTCTTTAGTCAGAATTTTCCCGAGAACAGAATTTAATTTGATTTGATAAAAAAAAACTATGAAATTTCAAATTTCCCTGAAAATTCAAGGGCACCTCAAATTTTTTAGTTCCGCAAGTTGCATGAATTTTTACTTAAAACATCGACACACATAAAAAAAAACTGGACGAAACGAAAGAAAGCGAAAATAAATGACCCCAACTATTGTTCTGCAGCCCAAAAAATCCTCCAGAAACGTAGACTCATCTCACCCACCCCCTCCCCCCAGCATTTCAAAAATCCCCCCTAAAATACCATTCCAGATAAGGCAATACGCAGCCCTCCTCCTTCGAAAGAGATACTCCAAAGGAAAGCACTGGAGCAACCTGGCCCCAGAGATCCGCACGCAAGTGAAATCAATGCTCTTGCAAGGGCTGGTGAACGAGCCCGAGCGAGGTGTGAAGAATGGAATAGCCCAGTTAATCGGGGTGATCGTCAAGCACGAAATACCCCACAACACTTGGCCGGAGATATTCCAGTTCATCCAGCAGCTGGTGACAAGCGACAACCCGTCTGACAAGGAGCTAGGAATGTACACACTGGCAACAATGACGGAGATGGCTCCAGAGATGTACCTAGCGCACGCATCCTCCCTCATGAGTTTGCTGGGCCAGACCTTCAGTAGCCTCCAAGAGCTGGGCACCCCAGTGGCCTTCTACATAATTCAAACAATGCTCCACCTGACGCCCTTAGTCGAGAACAACCAGGTGATGGTGAACGCCTACAACCAGATGATCCCAGTTGCGATGAACGCAGTCCAAGCATTGACGCTGACAAGCCAAGAGAAGGCAGCCGAGGCGATGGAGCTCTTTGACGAGCTCTGCGAGAGTGCCGAGACTGTCATCTCGCCTCACATAAAAAACCTCATCCCAATGTGTCTGACAATAGCCAGAAATAAAACCCTGGACGACGATCTTCGAGTGAGGGCCATTGGACTGATCGGTTGTCTAGCTAGGACCAAGACAAAAGCCATCGTCAAGCACAAGATGGTGGAGCCAATAGTGGATGTTCTGTTTGAGCTCATGGCGAGCCCCCCAGACGACGAGAACGACGAGGTTTACTTCAGTGGAGAGAACGAGGACAACACCCCAGTGACCTGTGCCACTCAGACACTAGATCTTCTTGCAATTCATCTGAAACCTGATAAGCTTGTTCCTCATCTGCTGAAGCACGTTGAGCCCGGCCTTCAGAGCACTGACATCTGCGCGAAGAAGGCGTCGTACCTGGCACTCGCTGTTCTCGCCGAGGGCTGCGCCGAGCACATAAGGTCCAAGTACCTCGAGTCCTTCTTGAGGTGCATCTGTCAAGGGATCACTGATCAATCGCCGGTGGTGCGCAACGCAGCTCTCTTCGCTCTTGGCCAATTCTCGGAGTACCTCCAGCCTGAGATAAGCCAATACTCCCAGCAACTGCTACCTGTTTTGTTCGATTACCTGGGGCAGATGTGCGCACACTTGAAGCAGGAGGGACGAGAGCCACCTTCGGTGGACAGAATGTTCTATGCACTTGAAACATTCTGTGAGAACCTCAATGATGCGCTTCTCCCGTATCTTCCGACTTTGATGGACAGATTGTTCGAGACACTGAGCGGTGACTCTCCTGTTCATATCAGGGAATTGGCTATCAGTGCTATTGGGGCTGCTGCCAATGCCAGTAAGGAGCACATGGTGCCGTACTTTCAACGGATTATTGCCATTCTTGATGTGTATTTGACGAATAGCCATACTGATGAGACAATGTGTCTTCAGATCCAGTCAGTCGACACTCTGGGAGCCCTCGCCCGAACAATCGGTGAAGAGACCTTCGCCCCCCTTGTAGGAAAATCCCTGGACCTGGGAATAAAGTTAATAACCAGTACAGACGAGCCAGACTTGCGAAAAGCAGTGTACGGTCTCTTCGCCTCAATAGCCTCGATAACGAAAAAGGAAATGGCACCAGTGTTGCCCCAGATCCTGGAGCACATTTTCAGCAGCATCCAGAGCTCTGAGGGTATCGTCCCTCACTTCAAAGACAGCGAGAACACGGCATTCCCCGTGTACGAAGACACAAGTGATAACGAGAACGACGACGAAGAGGACATTGAGAACACAGACAACGAGGAGGACGACGATGAGGAGGACGACGAGGTGGCTGGGTACAGCGTGGCAAACGCCTACATAGAGGAGAAGGAAGAGGCAGTCCTGGCACTCCGAGAGATTGCCCACCACACAGAGGACGCCTTTCTCCCCTACCTCGAGAAATCCTTCGAGGAGACCTTCAAACTCACAAACTACCCACAAGAGGACATAAAGAAAGCATCGATAGACGCTCTCTCCCAATTCTGCATAAACTTTTCAAAGATAAACACACCGGAGGGTAAACAGGCACTGTCAAAAGCCATTGGGGTTTACATTCCCAAACTGTCTGAGATTATTCGACTGGATTGCGAGCCACAGGTGGTGATAAGTGGTTTAGAGGCATTAGCAGAGCTTCTGAATGAGATTAAAGAGGATGTTGTTGCTGGTGAGGGCCACAAAGATGCTGTTATGAATTGTGTTATTGACGTATTCACTGGAAAAATTGAGTGTCAGGATCAGGACGAGGGAGAGGGGGATGACGATGAGGCAGAGCAGGATGAGTTTCTGATTGAGTGCGCTGGAGATGTTCTGTCGTACTTTGGCAAGGCCATTCCTGCTGAGGAATTTGCACTCTACTTCCACAAGGTCCTGCCTTATCTTAGGGAGAGGGTTAAGGAGAGCAAGTCCGAGGCCCAGAGGTCCTTCGCTGTGGGAACGATATCAGAGTGCCTCTCCGGGCTGAGGCACACTGTTGGTGCATTCGTTCCCCAGCTTTTGCCACTGTTCAGAAAGAGAATTGAGGATCCCAGTCCTGAAGTCAGGAATAATGCGTACTATGGGATCGGGGAATTGGTGCTTCATGGGAAGGAGGCTGTTTACTCTCATTACAATGAGATTCTTCAGCTACTGTCGCAGGCTCTACAGAGGGAGGAGCATGCTGGACCCAGGGATAATATGACTGGGGTCATTGCTAGGCTCATTATCAGTAATTATTCTCTTGTCGATTTGGAGAGGGTCTTCCCTGCTTTTGTTCAACAACTCCCTCTCAAACAGGATTTCGAGGAGTATCAGGCTGTTTTCAGGAGTATTTTGACACTCTACAGGGCTGGGCATGAAGTTATTAAGCCGCATATGCAGGCACTTCTCAAGGTTGCTATCAGTGTGCTGCATGAGAAGAAAGCACCTAATGAAGGTAATTAAAATATTTTTCTGTTGAAATAGCAGTTATTTTGACTATTAGTGGAAAATTTTTATTCACGATTCGAAATTTAAAATTGTAAATCACTCAATTAATCACAGAATGACCGATAATTCTAATTAAAGAACGTGTAACATGTACAGGATGAACATGTTGTTATAATTCATTTAATAATTTGGAATTGGCTGTAATTAAATTCGAGTGGGTTTGTTTGATTACAGAAACAAAAGGATTAATAACAGAACTGATAAACTCTGCCCAACGAGATTTCCCCAACGACTGGAGTACAGTATTCAACGAACTCCCCCACGAACTTCAACAAATTCTCTCAGCGTAAAACTAAAAAAAAACTCAAGTGTTTATATATAAATTTTCTACGTCATCGAACGATTAAGAAATTGTTGGCAACCAATCAGATGATATTACAGAGTGAACCGTGTTGTTGACCGACGCTGGTTCGGGAAAAATAATTATTTAGCACTGGCTACGAGAGCCTAGTCAAAGGTCATCACTAGCACTCGAAGCAACTTAATGTTCCTTAAATTCTGTTCTTATAACGATTAAATGCGAGTTAAATTCGTGCCTTATTTTCAATGCGAGTGTTCTGTTGTGTTTTTTAGATTAAAATTTTCCGGAATTTTTGGTGACAATTGCCATTTGAATTTTATTGAGAATTTTGGCAAGTGGCCGTATCGATCCAAGACTCGATAGTGGATAATTTTTTTTTTTTCGAGGATAAGGAACCAGTGACAGTTGAGTGTTTATATTAAATATAGTTTAGCATTGATACAACATTTTACATTTGTTGCTGTCTCTTTGTCGCTTGCAATCGATAAATTTGAATTATAGTGCACATGTAATTGATGCTCATGGGGCAATCGTTCGTGTAATTGCAAGTGAATAAAGGTTTTGCATTTTTACAACTTCATTCTTTTGATTTTATTTATCCAATTTGGTAGATATTTGCTTGGAAAATCAGGTAGTCGATTGTGGAACTCGACTATTGGATACCCGTGGGGATTAGGAACTATCATATCAGGTTTAATCTCTGGAATTTGGCATTTGAATATTATTGAGAATTTGGGGAAGCGGCCATATCGATCCAAGACTCGACAGTGACAGTTCGGTGTTTATATTAAATATAGTTTAACATTGATACAACATTTTAGATTCGTGACTGTCCCTTGGTCACTTGCAATCAATAAATATGAATTATAGTGCACGTGTAATTGCAAGCGAATAAAGGTTTTCCATTTTTACAACATTCTTTTGATTTTATTTATCCAATTGGGTAGACATTTGCTTGGAAAACAAGGTAGTCGATTGTGGAACCCAACTATCCGATACTCGTGGGGATTAAACTATCATATCAGGTTTAATCTCTTTCAACAACATATACCTAATCACTACTAAGAATGGGAGATTTTCAGGAACTAGATTAAATCGTATCGGTATCATTTAGAAAAATAGTAGAAGAGGGAAAAACTTGAGAGGAAAATATTATGGCTCGACACGTGATGAGTGTAAACAGATACATTTCAAAAATTCAATACAAAACCCTTGTGTTTTCCCCAAGAAATTCTATCAAAATTTCGCATTGCGAGGGAAGTCAATAAATATGTATTTTCCTCCCCAAATTATCCTGCTCGGATATTTTTGCTCCTATTACACCGAAAAGAACAATATTTATTGACTCTCTACCAAATATTTATGGAAGAACACACAAGACTGCATAATTTCCAATAGAAATCGACGCACAAAGCAAATACCATTTTTAATATAAAAGATTAATATTCATGCCTCAGGATCCAGAGGTGCAGAAGACACAATATGCAAATTTAATTTGTTCATGACGTCTTTAAAACTTCTCAACAAAAAAAAGAAAACTAGGTTTTTCGAACAAATATTTACATAAATGTCCCACCATACCTGGTTGATAATTTTCTTCGCATTTTTTCCCACTGAAATGAATTTACTGACAATCCTAATCCTAATTCCCATAAAATCACCACTCGCAATAGGACTTTTCTAAAACTATCCTAAATCCTACCAGTACTGCGCCTACATTGAACTCAATTGACCAATTCATTCCTCACCATTAAAAGCAAAGAAAAAAAAAACCGTTTTGCCCCCACCCCCTCCCGCAATGAGCAAAAAAATCATCAAGGTAAAAAATGGGGAAAACACAAGAGGAAAATACCAACTCCCCATGTGATATTCTCCGCCTGGACACTCGATCATACCCAGTCGATTACTTCTTTTTTCCCCTTTTTTCGAGTCTTCACATTTTGTAGAGGGGAGTGATAAGAGATTCCGTGGGATAGCGCACGCGGTTTCCGTAATGTTATATTCTCGATATTGATGAGCGCTATCGAACGCCGGTTGATAGCGTTGTCATTTATCGAGAGAACAAGATAGCCTTCTCGGGGTTGGTCACTCGAGACGTCTTTTTGGTCTCAAGTTGAGGCTTCATTGAGCCAGCGAAGCCCCAACAATCCCGACATTGGATCACTCATCTCCCGAGAAATAGAAAAAAAAAACTCGCGCAAAAACTGAGAATACGAGTGGAAAAAAACGTGTGCATAGTGATCGAGTTTTTATACCGCATAATTGTTCCGAGAATCTCATTAATGAAGATTTAATTCACCATTTAAAGTGATTCTATTTATTTGGAGTATAATAGCGCTATTAATTTATTTGTCATTTAATCGGGCGCTAGTTATGGGGTAAAGCCATCGATGCCCGATTATCCAATACCGTAATTGTACGTGCGTGTGAATAAATGAATTCATGAAAGTGTCCTTGAACGAATACGATTATGATTCGAATGAAGAAGTGACTTGTTGCGGGCACGTAAGTGTCTCATTAAAGGTGAAAAAAAAATAAAATGTATCAACGCATCACTCGGAATGGCCCATTCGAAATCCTCCTGAATAATGAGAAAAATGCTTGAATTATTTCCGCTACATTGAGGATCAATTGCAATTTACAATTCCATAATTGCGGATGCAATTAAGACGGCGCACGATGGTGTGTGCTACGTGACTCTGAGACTTTAAATTCTGTATTCTACGTTTGGTCCGGCTTTATTACTATTTGTTCCTCTGAATCAACAGTCGATTGACAGCGACTGCGCTATGTGCCTGTCATCAAATATTAATTTGTTACTGTGTGCGCGCGCAAGCCCTTTGGCCCTTTGAAACAATTTAAATTCATCGGACTCGCCGTTGTTTCTTTCTAGGTTTTCGAAAGGATTTATTTCGAGTGCAGTGGGCCAAGTGTGGGGGACACGCGGGTGAAAGTCGAACGTGTGCCGAAATCCCATTATTATTGCGTTCACTTGTCAATCGTCCTTCGTCAACGAAATCTCTTCTCACTTTGGTTTAAACTCTTTGTTCGATTATCGAAGTAAAACGCGTCATCTCTCCATAATCAATCCTGGATTAAATTATTTGAGTAATAGTGAATTATTTCCCTGAGTTTTGTGGAAAAAAAATTGTCAAAACTCTGAAGAGTGTCAGATCATGCCACGTGGAGTTGGCTGAACTAGTTTAAAAGTGACAAAACAAATAGACGAAAAAAGAGTCTGTGGATCGGATAGAAAATAAACAACCACGGCCTCCGGTTCCGCCTCTCGTCGAGTGGCCCATATTCATTATCACGATAAAGTTTTCCTGGGGTTGAATTTTCAATAAAAAAAACGGCCAGCAGCACTCGCCAGTAACTGGAGAATCGAAACAGTGTGACGACGATGCCCCAGCGATGATGAACTGTTCGAGTGCTGTTGGTGATCGTTATTTCGAAATAATAGATCCATGGATGTGTGCAATTACCACGATGGAGAGTTGTGCTGATAATCGACGATGGACTAATAATAAGTTCAAGGAAATTTAACATTTTTTAAATAAAATAGTCAGCATTTACGATGGACGTGGAACTTGTTACAAGGACTTCTCTGAGTTCTCTTCATAAAGTTGACGATGGGAGGATTGTGTCGCCGAATAGTCTTGACGAGTGGACGTGGTCCAGTCTCAGGGTGAGTAGGGAATCCCATTGACACTTCGATAATTGGTGTGAAAATGGTTGGGAGAAAAAATGAAATTTCATGGACAGTTGAGTAGCCGTTTTCAGAAATTTTAGTGAAATTTTAGATTTCTGAGCAGTACGACAACGAGAATTGCACCACTCACGTGAATTTTTAATTCATTAAAAAAGCAAGACTATATTCACCGGAAGTTCCCTAATTTCTCTCAATTTTCACGGAATACTTAAACTGGAATTCACAGTTACATTACCTTAAATTCGCTTTAGGGATAGAAAATCGTGAAATTTTGAATTGCACTAAAAATCCAGTGAAATTCCAGATTTTTGAGGAGTAGAAAAACGAGAATTCCTCACCGTGCTTGAATTTCCTCTAAAAATCTCACCATTCGATACCCAATTGCGCTGAATTGTTAATGAATTGGGAATTCAAGAATATATTCACCTGAATTTTCCCGATTTCTATCAATTTTAGTGAACTGATTCAACTAAACTTTACAGTTTGCATTAATTAACCCAGAAAATTTTGAATTTTCAACGGCGAAATTCCTTAATATTCTAGTTGGACTAATGCTAAAAATTTCCAACAGCTGAACCGGAAACAATCAACGAAACCCAGCAAGGTTTTTAATAGCGAATGCCACCATTAATTACCCAAAATTAATTAATTAATTAAATCCCAAATTTGGCATCTCCTTGAGAAATAATACTGTCCACTCAGCTGAGGCGCTTTATTAAAAATATACTCGACCACAATTCTTGTCAATACACCTATCCAACACGTCCAAAGAAAATTTAAATTTTTACCTATTTTTTCCGCGCCTCTAATGCAAAGTTATTCAAACAATCACGGAAAAAATGCAGCGCAATGTTCGTAGTAGGAGCACCGGACTGTTAAAAACAAAAAAAATTGCAGAACTCAAACGATTTCATGCTCTCCCACACTCATAGACTAATTCATTTATTCCAAACGAGATTCGTCAACTATTAACGAATGACAGAGTTGAATATGACCAAATGAATATTCGTTAATAGTTACGAATGATTGACTTGAAAAGTGTAAACCGAGTCAAACAAGGCTCCTCGAGACGAGACGAGGGTCTATTTGGTCTCATCAAATGTTCATGCCTTAAGGGGAGACTACTATGAGTTTTAAAAGTCGTGGATTATTGGAGTGAGACTTTTCATACGTTGAAGATCGATTATATAGATCTGAAAACAAATAACTAGTGCAAAAAAATTTTTTTTTATTGTTCGTTTGCCCGAAAACGCTTCAAATACTAAAAACAGCCCAAGGCCTCCAATTTTTGAGCTACAAAAGATTTTTTTTTCAAAATTTTCGGAAAAATGTGTGGAACAACAATTACGAGCCAGTTTTTTGGAATTCGACTCCTACACAGCTGATTTCGGTTTTTTTCCTACAAAAAAATTGACTATTTGTGTAAAAAAATACAAAAAAAGCTAATTTAGCCATGTAAGAGGCGAATTAAAAAAAAATAGCCCATAATTGTTATTCCACATATATTTCCGAAAATTTTGAAAAAAAAAATCCTCCGTAGCTCAAAAATTGGAGGCCCTGGACTGTTTTTACAATAAAAAAAATTTTTTTTGCACTAATTATTCGTTTTCAACTCTATATAATCGATCTTCGACGTATAAAAGTCTCACTCCAATAACCCACAACTTTTAAAACTCATAGTAGTCTCCCCTTAACAGTTAACAAATGTACATTTGATGAGACCAAATATTTCGTCTCCAACCAAATCCACTCGTTAACAATAACTAATCCCTTCTACCAGTGCATTATTAGATCCAATAATCCCGTTGATTACCGAATACCGTAAAACCCAAAAAATTGATTTTTCCCAGATGCCAATGAATCCCTCGTCCCTCTCATTAGATCGCTCTGGGGCGTCTGCGCTATCGTTTGGCCCTGGTCCGGTCGTATGTAGACCCCTCGGCGTCAATGTACAGAGCACGTACCCATCTGTATCGCACCACAGTACTAGCATACATAAAACCCCCAACGGCTCACCCACTACCATTCCCAACATTTCCCTATCCAAACGAGGAAATAAAAATGCATTCGCATGACAATGTGAGCCCCCCGAACAATGTGTATGTGAGCATCGAAAATCCAAAGGAGTGATCGCCGGGAGTGAATACGCGCAGTCGTCGTCGTTGAAATTCACGGAAGTGTTCGGGAATAGCGGCTCCGACGTATCCTGACACATTCTGTTATTTTTTTATTTACTTTTTTTCCCCACCCTCTCAATTGTCACTAAACATTGTTCCTCTCCTTTCGTCAATTGTGCACGGGAGTTGTGACGTATTACGCACAAAATGATGAACTACCGGCGTGAAGAGTTATTGCCGATTGAACATAAATAAATGCTGCACATAGCCACCACCCTCGATAATTTGTGAGTTACATTGATGTCTGCGCAGTGCACTAAACATCTATTAATTCGCGGCATTTCGTATTCGTTTTAGATTCAGATATAAATAATACCATGTGCTGCCTCAATATTCCAATAAAAATCATCACTGAGTCATCAGAGATGAACAAAAATCGATATGATTGCCGAAATTCTCATAAACATGTCAGAATGTCCCATCGGCGAATATTTGATGAGTAAATTAGAGCACGAAAATTTCAACGATCAGCAATATTTATATTGCACAGCCAGGATCCATTAGCATCACTGTAATAACGAGATTAACTCAAACTCAAGTACGAAAATACACATCGTGAAACTGAGGAGGAGTTAAAGTCATTGGTGTGTGCGGGTGTGTGAATCAATGCACAACCAGACACTTTCGGCTGGATATAAATTTATTATTTCATCTTTTCTCACGTGATTCAATAACACTGGTGGTTTACTAATAACTTTACTCTGATTTATTTGTGTGCAGAAACAATTCGAGTACAAGAATTTGGAAAAACTCTATACGATTTATCAGAGAAGGCTGCAGAATGGATATCTATCGTTGTTCGTTCTGGTTCAATTGGTGCTTGGAATTGCACATTGTACTGTGTTAATAATGACGGTAAGTATTTTTAACACGAAATGAAAATGGGAGGGGAATATCCGATTTACCGTGGATTTTGTTGCGCGGATCATTGGTGCGATCTTTTCTGCGGACTGATACGGAGGATTGCGCTTTAAATTTCAAGGGAAAGATCTTGCAGTTAACAGAGACTAGTTCACGTGAAAGTTCTGTATACTGATGGGAACGAATGAAAATTTTATGAGGGGTTCAGTATAAATTTTTGGGAGAGCGACGTTTTACTCGATTCGAGGGGGAATTATGAAATTTCGAAGTTCATGGAAAATTCAATAACATTCGAAATTTGTGAGCAGCGGGAAGACGAGAATTCCTCAACTCACTTGAATTTTCAATCAAAATATGAAAATTTAACCCCAAATTAATTCAGTACCAAATTAGTTGAAATAATTGAACTAAATGTACTTTTTCCATTGATTTTTTAATAAGATATTGAATTTTAGTGGAAATGTGACTGGATAAAACTCTGTAATCTCAATCTTCATTTCATGGACAGTTTAGTCGCAATAATTTTGTCATTGAATTCAATTTTAGGGAGAAACAATCATAGAATTTCAAAGTTAACTAAAAACGCAAAGAAATTCCTCATTTTTTAATTTTAAATATTTTTGAATATTCAGAACCAAATTATTCTGAATTGTCGAATAACTAAAAATTCAAGCCTGTGTTCACCTGAATTTTCCACATTCCCCTCAATTCTCGTGAAATACCTGAACTAAATCAGCAGCGAAGCGGTAGACCAGATTTCAATTGTGACTATTGACCAGTTTTTGATGAATATCTCGGAATCTAAAAGAGATAGAAAATTTTTTGTTATGACCTTTTTTGTAGAGCCAATTGAGCGTTACAAAAAAGGTTATGCGAAAAATTTTGCTATCTCTCTTAGATTCCGGGATATTCATCAAAAATTGGCCAAAAGTCAAAATCAACTTAACTCGGTTTACGGCTTCACGACTGAAATGTCCTGTTTCCCTTAATTTTTCACGAAATCGTCAATTCGCAACGTCGAAATTCCTTGAAATATTAGTAGAAGTGCAGGCATATCTTACAAAATTCAAGCTGTCATTGAAATATTTCCACTCACTCAACATAAACCCACATTTTCCTGAATTTTCAATACTGCCCACCAGAGTGTTTGTCATATTTCACGTTTCCTATCTATTTAAAAATCAGAAAGATGACTCATTGGGTGTTAATTTCAGTTAAAACCGAACCATTAACAATGACAATTATTCAAAGGTCGAGATACATGCATCCCTACCAGACGTTGTAACCTGGTGCATCATGGGTGCCCTACTGTGTCCAGTAATAGCCCTATCCTTCAGGTCGAAGCTCATAGCCAAAGAGACATACCTACCAGTTGTCCTATCCTGTGTCATTGTCGTTCTGCTTGTCCTCGGGGACTTGGCAGTGCCCTTCTGGTATACCCTCGGTACGTCCAAGGATACAACAGCGATAAGGTGAGGAAGTTGAAAAAAATATAACAAAAAAAAAAATCAGAAAACGTAATGAGCGGTGATAACAACTTGGGAGGGATACACGGTTAAACTGGTTTTAAGTGTATAATCGCAAGATAGAAGTGGTAAATACCCGTTTACACATCGATTATCATCGACCTTCGGAGTTCTTTAAACCACCTAGAGTCCCCAGTTATTCGCTATTTTCGGTGATTTCTTTTCTATTGTTTCCCACTTCCTGTTTGCTCGAAAAAAAAAACCCGCATTGATTTTTTTCTATTGTTCCAGACCCGCATATGCCACTCATGTTCTACTGGCATGCTATGTGTTTTTACCATTAACCGAGAATCTTCATGCTTTTATTCTGGGGATCACTGCAACTCTGTGCTATCTGATGAGTCTGGCACTCATAACTTATAGAAATTTACCGGATTACACAGCAAGGGTGAGCAATAGAGCTGTTCTCAGATCCCAATCGTTCGAAATTATTTCCAGTTACATTTTGGCAATTTTCACTCAGATCATCGCTGATGCCATTTATTTCGCTTGTGTCAACGGCCTTGGTCTCTACTTCCGGTTTATGAATGAGGTTGTTATCAGAAGATCGTTCTTGGATAGGAGAAAATGCGTTGAATCGACACTAAGGCTTAACTATGAGAAAGATCAAGAAGTGAGTCATCGAAATGAACAATAAAAGCCTAGTGATCTTTCAAAAATAATCCCAAGCTGTTTTTGTTACTTTTCCACCGGTAGGAACAACTAACGAGGAGCATTCTGCCTCAACACTTTGCTGCGAAGATAAAGAAGGATTTCAGGGATATTTTTAAATTTATTGAGGAGCATAAAAAACCACCACCCAAGGGGCGACGTAGAAAGTGAGTGAGCTGTTTGGCTAAACGAATTTTTCTTTTATTAGAACTGGAAATTATTGTTGCAGTGACTTGTATGTGGAGACTCACAATAATGTCAGCATATTGTATGCCGATGTCGTCAATTTTTCCGGTCTAACTGTTACACTTCCAGTGAAAAAACTGGTTGAAACTTTGAACGATTTGTTTGGATCTTTCGATGAAGCTTCCGAGAGGCACAATGTCTTGAGAATCAAGTTCCTGGGGGACTGTTACTACTGTGTCAGTGGGGTTCCAACGCCAAATGCACAACATGCCAAGAGCTGTGTGGATTTAGGTGAATATTTTGTTTGTGCGACAATCCAAATGATAATATGAAAATTTAATTTTTTACAGTTCTTGAATTCTTTAGTTTCTAGATTTCTAAAAATGTTCGATATTGTTGGGTTTTGAGCCAGCTTCTTACGATGAATTCGATAATTTGGAATATTTTTCTTGCTAAAAAAGATTTTCAAACTCGTCTCGTTAATTATTTATGTGGAGGGAACGAGAAAAAAACTCAAAACTGTCTAAATTCTCTCCAAAATCATTGACTACCGAGGAAAATGTTCTCCGAATATCTGAGTAATCTCGACGAACTGCAATCCAACTGTTTAATCCCCCAACTTTCAGGTCTCGACATGATAAAAATAATAAAAGAAGTGCGAGCCCGAGTGCGACGCGAGTGTGGAGTGGACATAAACATGAGAATAGGAGTTCACTCTGGAAAGATAATATCCGGGATATTGGGAGCCAACAAGTGGCAGTATGACGTGTGGTCGAGGGACGTTGTGATAGCGAATAAAATGGAGCAAACAGGTCAACCAGGTAAAGTCCACGTGACACAGCAGACCCTGAACTTGCTGGAGGCAGCTCAATACGATTGCGTGCCAGTTGAAACCCTCAACGACGAAACACTCAGAAAGTACAACATAAAGAGCTACTTGATAACACCGTCAATACCAGGATCACCAGTTCTGCAGGTGGGAAACGGGAGATTGAAGTATCTTGTTGAATCAGTTGATACGCAAACCTTGTTGCAGAACAGCGAGAGCAACTTGACGATAGCAGATCCTGTCACGCCACCAGTATCCAACAAACACTACGTCAGGTGGTACAGTGTGAGACCGAGTACGAGTGTTGGAGCAGCTAGAAACACTAAACGACTCACTCAAACAATGAACAATCATGCCGATGTCTTTGCTGGGACATTCAGGCGGAGAACCCACTTCATGGACTCGTGTCTCAAGGATTATCACTTGATGCTGAAGGCCGCTGATGCAGAAATGGAGGATGCCATCAAGCAAATGCCACTAAGCAAGTGGGAGTAAGATGAAAATCTTTAGTAGATATCTTGTCTTTCTCTCATATAAAAAGGAGATGTCACACTTTTATTCCTGAATGTTCTGAAAGAAAAATCGCAGGCATGCGATTTCTAATTTTGTTGATGATGTTGGTAATGTTGGTGTAGATCTACGGAGAGATGTTTTCAATCACGGGCAATTATATGTAGCTTTTTCGGGAGTTCGATCATGAGTTCCATTGAAAGTTTTCACAAGACAACAACGAAAAAACGCCAAAGTCAAAAATTATGTCCACAAAGAGTTATATCTTTGAGTAAATGGTATATATATTTATGTCTGTTTAAAAGGAACCGACTTGATCGTATTTAGTATCCGAGATATTCATGGTTTTCCATCGATTACCGCCGTATAAATTAACATTGAATTATTTTCTGATCTTCGATACCAACGTCATTTCCAACAGAACATGTGTTGATCCTCAATTGAAGTTTTCATGGATTTTGACTTATCTCCGATTGATTCTCGATGGAAATTTCCATCCCTTTTCAATAAAAAAAAATTCGTGGATTTTCAAAAGAGGTTTTCATCATTTCCCACGAATTTCTCCTTAGTAACACTATAGAAATTTGCATACGTGAAATAACAGATTGATTCAAATCAACTTACAATAACAACGGGATGAATCATATAAAATCAATCATAGTGATTCGATCTCGTACGAATAAATTCGATAGAAAAACCTCACGCAAAATTCTATTTGTTTTCGACGTCAAAAACAAGCGGAAAAAAATTGAAAAATTAACGCCGAAGAGTTCCTGTAGAAAAAATAATTGTTTATGGACTTTTTCCATCAAATTTCTGTTTAAACAAACGAATTATTTCACTTGCAGACAGTGGTCCAAGTGGGAGCCGATTAATCCCATTTTCCTCACGTTCTCAAGGCTCAACTGGGAGATTCCCTTCCTAAGAGAACCCGATCCTCTCTTCAAGTTCTTCGTAGGCTGTGCAGCACTCGTTTTATTGTCGATGGGGTTCATTTTTCTGGCGCCTGCTATCATAAAATCTGAGTGAGTCTCTTCAGAAATTTCATTGGTGCTTCTGAACTATTTCGAATAGTGCAGTTTCTTTTGGTTTAATTTCAGGTGGCATCTGAGCACAACCGTTGGCTTCATGCTAGCAATGCTCTTCCTCATAGCACTATTGCCATTAACGTGGATGCACTTTGTGTGGAATCGATGTAAAGATCCTCACGACGAGCACGAGGGGCACATCCCCCAGCCCAGAAATAAATTACTCCATTTTATGTACCAAACTAGCATTAAAGTGAGTTCTCCATTACTCTTTCTTTCTATTTTCGTCCCGAGGAATATGGATTTTATGGAGGTTTTTCTAGGTCGTCTGGAGTGCGCTCTTGAGAACAACTCTTTACCTAGTGATTACGATAATGCTGGCTGCTTGCGCCATGTTCGATATGCTGGTGAGGTCCTAGTCTATTTACAGAATTCGATATTCCAGGTGTTTGGTGAATGAACTAATATTAACTGATTCAATTCGCAGTTTGAATGCAAAAATTTCGATCGTCTGGGAAACAACAATGCGACTTCCAGTATAGCAGAAACTGGAGCCGCTGATATCGAGTGTATTGTCTCCCCCTGGGTATGATTATTTATTGCACTGTTGGGAATATTTTTATGTTTGAGTAATGATCACATCTGAATTTCCAATGTACAGCTAAACTCAGTTCGAGATGAATTTGAATTTTTGAAAACACCTAGGGAATTCGCTAATCCAAACGCAATAATTGTCCGATAGAAACTATTTTATAGAAAAAATCAGTTGAGATTAATCTTTCTATACTACTTTTTTTATTAGGATATTTTCCTCGACGTCAATTTTCAACCTTTTTTTCGCCTTATTTTCTTTCCTTTGTCCGCAATTTCGACAGAAAATATCTCAGAGGAGTAAGTTGCATTAAAAATGAAATTCAATCGATTTTTTCTATAAAATATTTTCTATTAAACATTTATATCGTGACGTGAACCTGAAATTTGAAAATTCATCAAATATTCCAGTGATTATCAATAACATATACGGAAATTTTATGTGAATTAGTCATAATTTCCTAATTGCTGGGTTTTCAGCAAATGTCAGAGACGTGTTCCCTGGCAATTCTCACGAGTTTTCTATTCCTGAGAGTGCATTTTTTCCTGAAACTCGTCATTGGTCTCGGCATCGTGGGCTTCTACACTTGGAGCATTACCGAATATCGATCGACTCTCTTCCAGGTAAATTGCGTATTAAAGTGACTCCAGCGTGATGAGTTATGCAAGGGCTTGTGTGACAGAGTAAATTGGTTTCAGTCTGGTGCAACATGGAATCCCCACCTAGAGCCAAGAATCGCGCACATTCTCAATGTAGTCTTTCTTACGTTTTCCCTGCATTTGATCGATCGTCAGGCTGAGTACTTGAGTCGATTGGATTATCAATGGAAACGACAGTTGACGCAGGAGCAGGATGAGGCGTTCCATACTAGGAATGCTAATAAACTCTTGTTGAGAAATATTCTTCCAGAGCATGTGGGTCAGTACCCTTCGTTATAATCAACAAACGATTTACTTGACACTGAATAATTGGATTTTGCAAGAATTTAATTTTTTTTATATGGAAATTCAATGAAAAATACGGGAGACAAAAATACGTGTTTAAATTATTGGAAATTTCTCAGCAAATTTGAAATAAAAATCTCTAAATGTTTAACAAGCACTCATTTACATGAAATTCCCATTTATTCTATTACTGAAAAATTAACTAAAGGCTGGAAATCGGAAATTTCGGCTTCACTTGACATTAAAAATGATTGAAATTGAAAAAAAAATAGGTAACTATTTTTATTCGTCTTCAATCCATTGAAAATTCAATTGGATGCCATGCTGAATTTTTCCAATGAGTCTGAGAATTATATTCTATTCTATTCTCTGATCGCCTGACATGAAATCCCCAATTTTTTTCATTTTTCAATCTGAATAAGAGATTCTGCCAACAATTTGATCTGAACTGAATTTAAATTCACAACATTGACAGTTCAAATGTCATTCTTCTATTCAACACAAAAATTCCCCCGAAAAACCCAATTAATTCATCACTTTGACCCTCAACAGCTGATTTCTACCTGAATATGAATCGCACAGAGGAGCACGAGCTGTATCACGAGGCACACGATAACGTGGCAGTGATGTTCGCTTCACTGACTGATCTGTCCATCGACGAGAGCAATATATTGATCGATCTCAACGAGATCATCTGCGAATTCGATAAATTACTATTCGAGCCCTGCTTTGTCTGTCGAATCGAGAAGATCAAAATCGCGGGAACGACCTACATGGCTGCTTGTGGCCTAGAAGCGAGACGAAGGGATTCTCTAGAGAATGAGGATCAGTATCACGACGAGCATGTCGTCAAGGTCATGGCGCAATTCGCTGTCAGAATGCTGGGAATTCTCGACAGACTCAATGCCGAGACTTTTCCCAATTGTAAACCCTACAAGTAATGACCAGAAAATGCTAACGATTGAGATTTGCAAGACATTTTCAGTTCATTGGATGTGAAAATTTGTAGTGCAGATTTTCATCGATTCGTTAAAACTTCTTGATTTTTTCATCACGCACCAAAAATTTTCATAGAAAAACCTATTGAATTCGATTGAAAATTCTCTTGAATTTCTATTAAAGAATTCTGCAGCTTTGATGCGCGTTTTGTTCACAGAAAATGTCCGATAGAAATTATTTTATAGAAAAAAATTAATAGAATTTCATCTTTCTGTGTAACTTTTTGGGTTGATACATGTTCTGCAAAAATTCCTCGACATGAATTTTCTACAAAAACGTCTCAATAGAATAAGTTGAGTGAAAAAGTCGAATTCTATTGACTCTTTCTATAGACTCTTTTCCGTTAAGCATTCCTATTGAAAGAATCGGCCCAAACCAACAGAAAATTCAAACGAAATCCCTGTATCTGTTTAAGAAATTTTTTCGTGCGTCACTCTCCTCGATTTGTTCCTTTTTCTCCGAATAAAAAAAAATAAAACTACGTATCTACCATTCCTCCCTCGATTGCCATATTTTATCACTTCATTCAATGAAAGAAAAATGTCATGCAATGACTCAATGACTAAGTAATCCCTCGAACTGTCAGATATCGATTAATAATGAATTCAATCATTTTCCCCTTCAGATTGAGAATTGGAATTTCACACGGTGAAGTAACAGCAGGCGTAGTAGGCGCCCAGAAGCCCCTGTACGATATCTGGGGTGATGCAGTGAATATGGCCTCCCGAATGGACACAACGGGAGTCCCTGGAAAAATCCAGGTACAAGAAAAAAAAACGATAAAATCGAATTAATCATCGTGCGCAATTCCCCGGCGATAACTCAAGTATTTTCAACTTGTTATCGATTAACAGGTGACAACAGAGACAGCAACAGTCCTCGAGCAGGATGGAATAAAGTGTAATCTTCGTGGAAAAACTTGGGTGAAGCCCAAAGGCCTCGTGACCACCTACTTTATCGGGGTTGATGAGAAGAGGAAACTCCAGATGGCTGATTCAGCCGAGGAAACGACAAATCTTTAGAGTAATTAAAGGACCAATGAGCAATTTCAATGACCAAAGAAATGATCAGCATCTCTTATCAACAATTATCACGATTATAGATTTATTACTGGACTAATGCCAATCGTCTGAGCATTGTGAATGAATAAAATTATTATTTTTCTACTGAGTGACAAATTATTTTCCACTTGTCACTGATTTTGTAAATAATTTTGTAAATATTCGTTTCGTCTGAAACTACTGTGACCAAATCTAATGGAGCATTCAAATAAAGTATTTATTACAGTAATTCGCGAGTTCTGTGGATTCTCATGACCTCTTTTTCTTTCTATTTATTACAGTAATTCGCGAGTTCTGTGGATTGTCATGACCTCGTTTTCTTTTTATTTTTATGACTACAAATTCATTTCTCGAATAATGCTAATCGCCCGAGCATTATGAATGAGTAAAATTATTATTTTTCTACAGAGTGACAAAGCATTTTCCACCTGTCACTGATTTTGTAAATAATTACGTGAATATTCGTTTCGTATGATGTTATTCCGACCAAATCCACTGGATCATTAAAATAAAATATTTATCACCGTAATTCGCGACATTCTGTAGATTCTCATTACCTCTTTTTATATTCCCAGCTATCTTCGTTATTTTAATGTTCATTAAGAAATTATCTGGGATATAAAGAGCACGAGAGTGGCAAATACCCAAACAAATATCCAGAAATAGAGTGAATGTTTTTAGATAATGCTAAAAGCTTTTGAACTCCGTTGTATACATATTGATAATAACTTACCCCACCGCTCGATGATGCTATGGATGATAAGCTCCTGTTGAAGTGTAGGCCATCCTCACACCACTGAAATCATCAAGATCATATCTCCATAAGTATTTAATCAAGTTATACGATCTAATTGCGAATCAAATCCGCAAACTAAACGTGAAAATTTTACCTGGAGACCATAAACTACTGCACTATTCCTCATTAATTCCTCTTTAATTCATTTCAAACATGTAATTATTGTTTTTCGATCAGATTGCAATCGCCCACTTTTAAGAGTCATTCGAATATTCCCCCAGCACATGTTACCAATCACATTCCCACTAGATTAAATAATCTAGAATGCTCTCAACACCCTAAAGTCTCTAGAACGGACAGAGTGTCGTCTCTGTCAGTCCACAGTACGAAAATATTCTCGTGACGACAGAGTTGGCTTTTCTCGTTCTGTTCTGTGGCCACAATATCCTTTTGCAAATTCGTTTCTATCGATTTTAATCCGGCAGTTTTGGTGCTTCTCTGATGCACCCAAAGTGACAAGAAATACCAAGGAGGGCAACAGTGTAAAGGTTAGATTGTTTTCGATATTATTTACTGGGAATCTTGTCAAAGTGAGTCACCTCGTTTGAACGAGTCCATTTTCCCCTTAGTTTTGACAGTAGTCAAATGACATCAGTATCATCAATCACTTCAAACATTTGCAGTAGTTTAAAAACCCATGATTGAGAACTTTCAATTAATTTCAACGAAAAATCCACTGAAACCTTATGAGTCATCGCCTCCTGGCAGATTATTCCAAATTTAATTTAGTTATGATTATATTTGACATTGAGACCTCCCATTGATCAACGGTAACGCAAATAAATCTACATTCGATACCTCCCATTCACCCACTCGACAAAACTGTTACATCCATTGAATTTCCGGTGAACTTCAGAATGGAGAGAGGAAAAAAATGATTGTGGTTATTCGCCTGGGAGGTTAGGTTTATTTTCCTCTTGATTCTGACCAATTCTGACAGTACTCAGATGACATGGGGATCAACAATGACTCCAAAAACATTTTAGACTGCAGGGAAGACATAAATAAAAACCCTCAACTAATTTTCATAATAAGTAATCGTAACTTCATTAAATTCCTCATCATTTCCACATAATTTATCCTAAATTTAATGTAGTTATGATTAACTTTGACATTGAGACCTCCTATTAATCAACGATAACACCAATAAATCTACATTAAATACCTAGCTATCCCACTCGACCGGACTGTCCTATATCAAGAAAATAAAAATTCCCGAACTACAGAATGAAAAAAAAAAATTATTGTGGCTACTGGGAGGTTAGATAAATTTTCCATCCAAATTTGACAGTAGGTAAATACCACTGACATAAATAATGGCGCGAAAAAAATTCGATGCTCTAGATAAAACATAAATAAAAAACCTCCGACTTGTCCCAATGGAAATTAATTAAAACCTCATCAGCTTTTTCATCATCTCAACATAATTTATCCTAAATGTAATGTAGTTATGATCAGCTTTGACATTGAGACCTCCTATTAATCAACGATAACACCAATAAATCTACATTAAACACCTAGTCATCCCACTCGACGAAAATTAAAATTCCGGAACAACAGAATGAAAAAGGAAAAAAATTATTGTGGTTACTGGAAGGTTAGATCAATTTTCCATTTAAATTTGATAGTAGGTAAATACCACTGACATAAATAATGGCGCGAAAAAAATTCGATGCTCTAGATAAAACATAAATAAAAAACCTCCGACTTGTCCCAATGGAAATTAATTAAAACCTCATCAGCTTTTTCATCATCTCAACATAATTTATCCTAAATGTAATGTAGTTATGATCAGCTTTGACATTGAGACCTCCTATTAATCAACGATAACACCAATAAATCTACATTAAACACCTAGTCATCCCACTCGACGAAAATTAAAATTCCGGAACAACAGAATGAAAAAGGAAAAAAATTATTGTGGTTACTGGAAGGTTAGATCAATTTTCCATTTAAATTTGATAGTAGGTAAATACCACTGACATAAATAATGGCGCGAAAAAAATTCGATGCTCTAGATAAAACATAAATAAAAAACCTCCGACTTGTCCCAATGGAAATTAATTAAAACCTCATCAGCCTCTTGGTCATCTTAACATAACTTATCCCAAATTTAATGTAGTTCCGATTACACCAATAAATCTCCCATTGATTCACTCCCTCAACAAAATTGTCGCATCTCCTCAAATTTCCGGTGAACCACAGAATAGAAAAAAGTGATTGCAGTTGCTAGAAGATTGGGTCGACTAAAGCGATAATTTTTTTCCTCCTCGCAGACTCTGAGGTGACGATAAACACTTCAAAATGGACATTGGTTTTTCCTCGTACCACAATGGTGGACCAGTGAGGGAGCAGGACTTCGAGAGACTATCACAGACCGTTGGGACCTCGATTCTGAAGATCTCCCAAAATGTCTCGTCGATGCAGAAGATGGTTAACCAGTTGGGGGGTGCTACGGACTCCCAGGAGCTTAGAAATCAGCTGTAACTATCCCCAGTCCCTCCCACCCACTTGTCCCTGGCGAATGTGATTATAATCCTCGCCTTCGGCTCGGATTATAAAGCCACTTTCACCAGATATATACTATTAAAGACAATCTTCATTTGACCCTAGCCACCAGATTCAGCACTACACCCAGCAGCTCGCGAAAGACACGAACGTCCACCTGAAAGACCTGACAGCAATCGCCAGTAATTCCTCGTCGACGAGTCCCGGAGAACAGACGCGAAGAAAAATGCGAATGCAGACTGAGAGGCTTCACGACGAATTCATGACAGCACTCAACAGTTTCCAAGGGGTCCAGAGACTGGCTGCTGCCAAGGAGAAGGAGATGGTGAAGAAGGCCAAGGCCAGTGTTGGCATACAGTTCGGAGAGAGGAAGCAAGAGACTCTGATTGAGCTGCAGGACAGCAGAACACAGAAGCAATTGCAGCAGCAGAATCTGCAGGATGAACAGAATCTCAGGATGCTGGAGGAACAGGAGGCCAGTATACGTCAGCTGGAGGTATGAAAGAGATTTCTTTGCAATTTCAAGTCGTTCACAAACGACTGTGACTGATGCCATTCCATTACGATTTTTTTCTCGCTCAGAATTATAATTTTTCGACAAAATAATCATTTTCTCCACTCCTATTGACAATGTATTAAATTATTAGCTCATTTCTCGTAGTTTTATTTCCATAGCAATATTCCCTGAAGATGAAACTAATGACCTGAATGAACTATTGAACAAATTAGCTTTCAACATTGGCAGTAAACAAATTTAACTCAATGGAATTTGCAGAAAAAGTTTATCGAGAAAATTTTCCAAAAGAGAATAATCCATTCTCTTCGTTTTTCATCTTTTTAGAGTGACATCAGCGATGTAAATCAGATATTCAAGGACCTAGGAGCCCTAGTTCATGATCAAGGAGAAGTGATCGACTCAATCGAGGCCTCTGTCGAACGAACAGAAGTATTCGTGAGCGAGGGAGCTCAACAACTCAGAACAGCAGCGACTTATCAGAACAAATTACGAAAAAAGAAGTGCATCCTGGTGATAATCGGTGCTGTTGCACTCTCAATTCTCATTGGAATAATAGTCTGGCAGACGTCCTAAGATCAGTCTGCCAGAATGTTGACTAAAACTAACAATGTTTTTATGGATATGCCCGATCAATTTGTATCGAATAACAATTAACAAGCCCCAGGGAACATCAATTTTTTTCATGTTCGAGGGAAAAGTTCAAGATACTCTCCGTTCCATTTGTATGATAAATCATGAAAATGCATTATGCGGTATTATTCGAGATGGAATTTTAATGCTATTGCTCGTACATAATTATTATGAGGTAACGATGTAGACCGTAATGTAATCGAGGAATACACTCATGTAATTGAGATATTAATGCGCGTAATTAACGAGTGGACGTTTGTTGGTGAAAGTCATTGGCATTAGGTGAATCATTCCTTAATGTAGATTAATTATGCGTAAATTTACCCTTTCTTTATCCTTCTACTTTGGTTCTAGAGTAATTTGAAAATATAATGTGTAAATCGAAGTGTAATCTCATATGTATTATATATTTAAAAACGTTATTTTATTTTAATCAAAGTCAGAATAAATTATATGAATTCAATAATGTGTTCATTCTTTCATTAATTGAGAAATTATTTGAATTTACTGGCAAATTGCTGGCAGATTTATAATTTTTAATGGGCAAGTACTTTTAGCAGAATATTAACAGTTTCTATTGTTACTGCTGTTTGGAATACTTTTTAGTATTAATTTTCAATTGAGCATTCCCGTGACCCAACTGAGATATTAATCCGCGTAATTGACGAATGGACGTTTATGGGCATCAGTGATTATCCATAACTTTATCCTTTGGTCCTTCTTCTCTCATTCTAGAGTAATTCGAGAGGATAATGTGGAGATCGAATTGTAATGTCATACGTATTATACATTCAAACACATTATTTCATTTTAATCAAAGTCAGAATTAGTCATATGAATTAAATAATGTCTTAATTATTTCGTCGGTTTTGAAATTATTTCAATTCATTTTTAATAGTTGTTCAACTATTTAAAGTGCGAGTACTTCTAAAATACAAAAAATATGAAAACTAATTTTTTTCCGAAAAATTTTCAAGGAAAAAACATTTTCCGTTCAGTATCGCGATAATTGTTATAAAATACTCATTAATATTCGCTTTTTATCCGGCATTTACGTGATGTCCTACCTTTTTACTGTGCAACTCGTGGCTAGCGTTTTTGTTTACGAGTCGTGCGGCGCGAGGCTTCTCACTGTTCCAGCAAAATGTACGACGTTTGTCACCCCAGTGTGAGTATACATTACAACTCCACATTTGTAAATAACTCGGGCACTTAGTGAACGACTTTGGAGAGATTGTAAACATCTACTTCAAGGTTTATTCGATCAAAACAAAATAAGATGCCCACACTGCCCTGGGCCTGTGGTCACAAAACATCGAGACGAATAACTTCGAGACATCGAAAATTTCGACGCTAGGGGGCGCGAATGCCCGCGAATTTCGAAATTAACTGTTGAATAATTTTGCATTTCATTGCAGTACTATAAGATTTGTGAGCTGGGCTGCAAGGACGACGTGAAAATCACAACAGCATTCCACGTTTACATTGAACTGTGCGAGGGTAAATATAAAAAACGAATAATAAATTTACAAATACAAAAAAATTCCGAGAGTAAAGCAGATACTTTTGACGTAGAAAAAAATGAATAAAAATTTATTTTTTATGAAAATTATAGTTCGTAATGAGTCCCAATTCATTTCTCAGTTATGAATATTCATTTGAAAAATTCAGAAATATCAATTTTCTCCAAAAATAATCCTAAACTCGTGAAAAAATTTAGACCGAAAACTTTGGGACGTCGAGTATAAGTATGAGCCATCACTAGACTTAGTTTACCTTGAGGCGAAGAAAACTAAAGATTCAGAGCCGGAGATTTACGTACCATGGGCTGCTAAATATGCCATAAAGATTGAGGACATGGAGAACATCCAGAAAACATTGGATATTGAACGGTAAATAATCTCCACCCAGAGAATTTACGAATTTTGATTGAATAGAACTTTCCACTTGAACTTTTTCTCATCATTGCAATAATTTTTTTTTCAATTAATAAAATTGATATATTTATATATTTATTTCAATGAAAATGATTTAATTGCATGACCCGAATAATACATCAATTAAAAATAATTCTACTATAATCAAATAAATGATTCATCAAATTAATTAATGAAATAGTTAATTAAATAAACCATTTCTCTGAGTGTCTTAGAATGAAAAAAAATATTAAATTTCTGTTCTCTTCTTAATAAAAAAACTGCTCGTCAATCAATTAATTTTTCTCTTTTGATTTAACAGCTTCACCCTAGTTTCAAAAGGCGGCGATGGCACGAGTATGTTCCACACAATAAACTCAGGATTAACAAAGCCCCTGGCACCACAAGAACACAACGAAATTCGATTATTATGCAGAAAGAGGACAGAATTGAGTCGAGAATTGCGTAAAAATAGCAGGAACTTGTACGACATGGCTAAACTCAAAGCGGAGGAGCCACAGGATCAAGCAGAAATTGATTAAAAACTCCTAATCGACAAAATAATATTGAAATTCCAACTCAATTCAACTTATTCTATAAATAGCATAGAATGGAACACTAAGATTCCCCCCAAAAAACGAAGATATTGCACAACTATGCAACAATAAAACTCAACACCAAAGTTTTCATCACTACTATTACTATTTTGATATTGTTTCATCTCATTTCATCTTACAAATTTTCATTACAATTAATTACTTCAAAAAAAATGTTATCTTACAATCTGTTAGTATTTACTCTCATATATTCATTATGATTTACAGCACGTGTGTATACCTACGTATAATTGTTAATTAAAATAGTATACAATCGATAAATGGACAGAATTAACGAATAAATCAGTTCGTTAAAGACCAAAACGAATGAGAGAAAAATTATCAATGATAACACGAAGACTCATCGATTGATTTCCGTGAGGTAGACGATGACTGGGCGCATTAGGCGATTTATAAAAAACTGCTACCTTCATTCACACTGACGAGTAAAGTTTTATATCAAAGTTAAAAAATATATTGTGACAAAATTACCCTGATTGTTATTTCTGATACTATCGCCGTTGCTGTACGCCACCGATAGATAGACCTCACGAATTTCCAGATAAACAGTTCCAATGATTCATTCAAAATAGGCCGGACATCCGGTTTCTCATTGTTCAGACACGAAAAAAAAGAGTAGCTACGTAACCACACGTCTGAGGTCAATGGAAATCCAGAGCGTGCCTAGGAAAAAATTCACATATGCTACAAAAAACCGTTCAAAAAGACACTCTAGTTTCCTTCATTTGTGTAAAGCTGCTAAGGCCACTTGGAGCATAATACGATTACACGAGAGAAAAAGAGAAATTTAAAATAAGCGAATCCTCACAATTTCATATTAACCTCATTTAGCACCGAATCCCGATGCATTAAGTCACAATGTACAAAACCAAATTTCACTCCTGAAACGTACGCAAATTACCAAAAAAGCCTAGATTGAATTTAATTTAATTTAAGGCAACTTAATTATCTCTCATTTACCAGTTCTTTTATATCACAAGTGGTTGTTATCATAACATTTCATTGGAAAAGAAAAATCTCATAAAAATACCACGTAGTTGCCCTGCGTAAAAAGCATTATTCCATTGATACTACAATAATCGTATTCTATAGTAAATTTCACTCGAAAAAGTTGATTTGATTATGTATGTTCTTCTCCACGATTTATTACAAATGAATAAAAAAACGTTTCTAGTGACTGACTTATAGTGAGTTTGTTCGACGAAGCAAGTGTGAATACCCAATTAATCGATGAAATCCTTCGCACATTGAGGCCTCGAAAAACATCATTTGATATGAATCCTGCCTGCAATGTGACTGCACGCTCTTTTCTTTTTTTTTTTTTGAAACAATTAATCTGTCGTATACCGACTAAAACTATCGAGTATCTCTCGTAAACAATAATCACGTAGAAACAATGATAATAATTAATAATAAATCTTCATGATAAATAACCGTCTCAACATTTAAGCATTCAAGCCACTGTGAATTGTATTGCATAATTCGCTTGAAGATGATTAAAATGATTCTTTCCTTTTTAAAAATATACAAATCAAGTGACCAACTGACCTCGGGATAAGCAAGTAAATGTCTGCTTTGTCCCATCAGTCTGGTTCAATTTCCCCTCGTGTTTTTACTCCACATGTTCCCCTTCCTCTTTCTCTCGTTCCTCAGGGGGACCACCCATACCTCGCCCCAACAGTGAATCAATTGTCCGGGAATTCATCTCACGTTAGATCGAGTATTTTTTCTTTTGTTTCTTAGTGAAATTTAATGGGTTCGTTAGCACCAATCAGCCATGTACGTGAAATCACGGAAGAGACCCTGCTCCAGATCGCTGAGGGGCCGAGGATCTTTGGCGGGGGTCAGGTGGGGCTTCTCTGACGTAAACTCCTCGTCGAAATTACTGACGTCTTCCACAGAATGCTAGGGTAAAGATAAAAGGAATTCAGTACCTCATAATTTTTTTTTTGACGATGGGACAAATGAGTTTTATAATTTCAAGAGTTTGACGTTTTGTGAACACAGCATTTTAGAGATTATTCAAATTACACGAAATTTCCAAGAGATAATATTTGGAAATGTTTGTTTTCTTGAGTTCAATGTCTTCAATTCAATGTCTGCTCGAGTTTTTTGAACGAAAAATGTTCAATAACCAAGTTTAACAAAAAAAAAGCAATTATTTTTGATAAAGTATTGGCCAATAACGATCGGAATGTTGATACTTCGTTAAATGTAAAAAAATGAATAATTTATCAAATAATTTAAGAATTAACATCTCTAATCTCTAAAAGTAAATCGCATTCAATACGAAACTGTGCTCTGCAATAAGCTATTTTGACATGGGATACTCACAATTACTGGAACAAACGGGGGTTTCACACGTCGCAGCAAGAGATCCTCCCATGATATGTGTCTGAAGAATGCTTGTTTCTTCACATCCTCAGCATCTCTCTCACTACTACCCAATCTTCTGTCTGGATTCTTTCTGAGTAGCTGTTCATACCAAATTTCAATAATAATTATTTCATCAATCCACCCAATTTCTAGTTACATCTAACGAATGATTAATTACCCTTCTCATGATTGCTATGGCCTCCAGTGAAAGGAACCTCGGATAACGCACTTCGTCGTTGACAATTGAGTCAAAAACTTCTTCCTCATCATCTCCAGGGAATGGCGACTAAATAAAAAATTAAAAACATGAGGAGTTAATGGGTTGACAATAAGGGATTCGCAAGTATGACAGAATTTTTTTTATATTCTTTCAATTTTTGAAGTTTTTTTTTCAATTTTCTGTGTTTTTTAATATAAAATGGATTTTTTTTATTGTGAAAGACAACGGTTGGAATAATCTAGATGAAAAGAACAAAGAAAAAAGTCCAAAAACTCATGAAATTAGAATTTTCGCAAAATAAATTACTCTCACCTCTCCAACAAGCATTTCAAATATGAGAACTCCCAATCCCCACCAGTCAACAGCTCTCGTGTACGAAGTCTCCGTGAGAACCTCAGGGGCAAGGAACTCAGGTGTCCCACAGAAAGTGCCCGTCTTGTCGCCAAAGCCCATTCCCTCCTTGCAGAGCCCGAAATCTGCTATCTTAACGTAACCCTCTGTATCCAGCAGTAAATTATCAAGCTTCAAATCTCTGGAAACGCACAGTTCACATTAATACCTCTCGAACAATAGAAGTACACGGTGGAACAATAACAATGTGGAGTAATCTCACGTTACCTATAAATTATGCGACTTTCGTGTAAATATTGGAGACCCAGAACGACACAGGCTGAGTAGAAAACTGCTCGTGACTCCCCGAAGACGTCAGCATGTATGTGCATCATCAAGTCACCACCAGCAGCATATTCCATGACAAAACATACGTGCGCCTGGGAGAGAAAATATCAAATACAGAATAAATCATTTTCTTGGTATTTTTTTTAGTTCCATACTGTTAGAAAAATTTGGATGAAATTATTATAATTACAAATTATAATTCCACTGAAATTTGAAGGAATTTTGCTATTGAAAATTCCAAATTTCATGGAGAAATCGAAGGAAACTGTAAATTTCAGTTCAATTATTCCATAAAAATGAATAGAAATTGAGAAAATTTAGATAAATTTGACTATTTTTTCTCATTATTGTTAGTTAACTGTCCATAAAGTTTCATCCAGTGAATTAAAAAATAATATGAATAATATGAATAATATAAAACATGTGAACAATATAAATGATAATAAGGCATTCGTATTGGTGTACGTGAGATAAAATCATGAAAAATTCATACCTCAGTCTGGAAACAGGCGAACAAATTAACGAGGAACGGATGTCTGGTGGCATTAGCAACCTCGAATATCCTCTTCTCCGAGAGCAAGCTCTCGACCTCGTCCCTAGCAATGATGTCTCCCTTCTTCAACGCCTTGATAGCGAAGTACTCCCCAGTATTTCTGTACTGCGAGAGAATGACTTTGCCAAAGTGTCCACGACCGAGTACAGAGAGCAGCCTAAAGTTCTCAAGGGCCATCCCAGTCATCTGCGAGTGCCTCCTGGATTCGTAGGCACTGTCCCTGTACTGCAGGGGTCTCGAGGGTGCCTCGTACACCACCTGAACAGGCGAAAACATCGTTTGTGGAATTATCAGGCCCTTAGCTCCCGATGGAGACGATCACACGTGCCCTTACGATCACAATCACTCGTACTTGGGGGGTAATCACTCCGGAGAAATTTTTGAACGGCATTTCAAGATTTAAAAATTCTGAAGTCTAATGTTTTTAGAATTGCAAAAGAGTTTGGGGATAGCTCAGAAATTGACAGAGATGGAATGAGATTTTATCGAATTTTAAAGATTTCTGAGAAATTTTTAAAAACTGTTTTTGAATAACTATTCCAATTTAGGGCCCCGGAATCCTTCAAGGCCTTTTGCATAGGGGGAAGTGGAGTGAAATAGACGCTTAATTTTTTCTTTTGCATAATGGAATAATTTTCTTTTCAAAATACTATTCTTTTCCTTCGTGACAAACTCTAATTTACAGATGTAACTTCGAATTATGAAATGAAGACGCTTTCGTCTTCTGAAATTCGAAATAAATTCCACGAGATTCAATGAAATTTCAGTTCGATTCGTCCTCCAAATGTCACGAGTAATTACCCCTCCCTACATTTCACAACTTTTGTTACATTCGTCTCACCCTGTTAACGATAAAACATCATCTAAATTCATATGTACAAACAACAAAGCCCTGCACCAGGTTTTCCTCGGTCGAGTGCACAATCCCAATAAACCGATGCAAAAGTACTCATGCATGTGGCCCCAAATGTTTTCACATCGACTTCCTTTGAACCAGAGTCACTGGTCCGTCGTAAAAATAATTACAAAAGCGGTTTCATTGTTGCAAAAGGGTTTATCCAAATAAAGTTAGTGAATTTGTATTGAACATTAGCGGTTAAAAACGCAGACTATTCAATAATTCTATTTCTCTCGTTTGTTAGCATTTGTTCGACACAAAAGTTATTTCACATTTTTTGAATTTTTTAAATTTGTTTTCCCTCAACAGTTTAATCTACCTCGTCCTCAGGGAACTCGACGACAGGTTGGGGCGAGGGGGTGCGCGGTGAGGGCGGTGCTATCAGCACTGGACGGGGCTCCGTCACAAGGGGCCTCAAGCTCGCACCCGCCTTGTCCTCGGTGTGCAGGAAATCAAACTCCTTAAGTGCACTCTGCAACTACATATCTATCTACTTTAGGCTTTCCTGTGCTTTTACTGTGGATTTTGCAATTTTTTGGGCTCTCTGTGGTGGTATACGGAGAATTTTAATATTCAACCCTTTAATGCCGAACAATTGATCGAAATAATCGAGGCTATTTCACGATAAACGAATCTCAAGTGTTAGAATTTTGTTGAAGATCAATATTTCATTTTTAATTTTGAGTAACGGCGTTAACGAGTTAATGAGTCTCAACGGGGATAATTTAGATAAACTACCACCATCACCACCATCACCGTGAAGCGAATGGCTTGTTCCATCCACTAATTCTACCGACTCATGGGAGACTTAAGTAAAGGGGATAGGGGCGTGTGGGGACAATGGACACTTCATTTATTCTTGATATTTACAGATCTGAAATAAATTTGTCGATTGAATTGTCAGGGAGTCAGTGAAAATAGAGAAGTGTTTTTGTAATTGAGAATGAACTCCTCCCATCGGTAATTTAAGGAGTCATTCATACTCAGAGGCCATGGAATTATTTTCTATTTTCAACTGTCAATTGTAATTTTCGAGAAAACCTAGAAATTAATTGAGATTGAACGAGATTTTATAGAATTTCAAGAATTAAAAAAATATCAATTCTTGGACATTTCGTGCGGGGAAAATGGACACTCAATTTTTTTCTAGATATTTACAGATGTGGAATAAATTCATCAATTGAGTCAAGCTTCCTTCATAAAAAATTCAATGAGTTATAAATATTGCGAGATGATGAAACCATTTGTTCTTTCAACCTCGAACTTCCAGAAAAAAACGAATGGATATAAAACCAATTGAAATTTGTGCTGTTGGCTTTCGATAGGTTTCCGAGAGAAAATGAAAAAAGTGCATTATTCCCACGCACCCCTAGACATAATCTCAAAAAAATAAAACATAGTTTACAAAAGGACATGACGTCGTGTACGAGCAACATCAAAATGGCTTCATTAACTAAAAAAACGATGGAAACAGTGACTCACCTCTTGATCGATCTTCGGTGGAGGTGGTGGTGGCACAGAGATCATAGAAGCCTTCTTGGAAATGGTGGCAATAGGGGGTGGTGGTGGTGGAGCACTGGGTGGTGGTGGTGGATGGCTCTGAGGAGCTAAACTCCCACTCGAAGCAGACATCCCCAGTGGTCTAGCCCCACTGAGTCCCCCCTTCTCGGGGTCAGGGGCCTCCCCAGGGGTTTCAGGTTTATCCTCCAAAGAGGCATCAAATACGAGCTGCATGGACTGCCCACCGGAAGGTGGACTCTCCGAATTTCTATTGCTATGCAAAGAGGGTGCAGACCTCTTCAGCAATCTCCCCCAAGTGGCGACATTGATGTTCATCTGATTGGCCCTCGGAAAGTTCTTCGCCTGCTGCTTGAAGATCTTCCTCTGCCTCTGGAGTTTGGGTTTCCTCGATATCATGGGATTCAAAAACCTGATCTCAGCGAAGAGAAGCCCCTGGGGCTCCAGCTGCAGAGCCATTCCATGTCTCACGTCATCAATGAACTCCTCCAGCCGAAGGAATTTGACAGCGCAGAGTGATCTCCAGTCCTTCCAGTAGATGCCAATCTCCAATTCCCTCGATTTATCTAGTTCAATGGAGAATCTCTGGTCCCAGGCTTGCTGTGAGCACGGTCTCCAACTCGTCTGGGCGACAGTTTGATTATCAAGCTTTATAACTGCCATTATGTCGTTACTGGTCTCATCCTTAACACTGTACGATTTACTCGAGCTGCGCCCAGTGACTCCTTTAACGAAACTCCGTAAATCGGGACTCGCTGGGTGATGCTCCCTCCTCGTTCTCCCAGGGACCTCTTCAGCGAGGTCCTGACATCCCATTAATCTCACCTCGAGCTGTCCTGTCACAGCTGCACACCTCGACACTGAAATTGGTACAGTGGCACGACCCTCCAGTGGCCCTCGAAAAGGCTGCAACGAGGTGTACGTCACTGGTACAGGACTCGCTGATTGCACACTAGCCAATTCTCTCTTTAATTGCGCAGCAGTGGCACTGTCCGCTGGTAATTCCTGTCTCCTCATGTCTAGAGACATTCTCAGTAAATCCAACTTTCGACTTGACTCGGATAAACTAGCCTGCGCCTGCAATCAATCAACACCATGCGTGACACACATTTTCACCCAACGACTCACTCTGCTCTCAATTACGTACGACTTTTTCGTGACCTTGATGACAACATGAGTTGAGTTACGATGATTCAGGGGGATAGATTGATTGGAGGGTATTGTCTTGATTGATTGAAGATTCTTTTGGCCTCGAATCAAGAATTTTTAGTTTTTCAGTTGAGGAGTATGATTCATTGTTTGTTTAAGAATAGTTTTGGGGTGTTGTAAGAATATATAAATATTCCATTCTTGAATTTAAAATGAGAAGTTATCAATTAAAGAATATAGTTCGTCTCAATCTATAAAATGAAAACCCTCAAGTCATGATGAATAATAATAGAACAATAGAAGCTTGATATTATATTCTTAACAGCACTTGACACTCTTTGATTTCCCTGGAAACTCCAAAAATATGATAATATTTTTGATAGATTTTTCATTCGTAAATAGAAAATAGGATTCAACAGGAAGTAAAAGTCCCCAAAAATGACGAGAAGGTCTATTGAACAATTTTTCCTTTCCCTACACAATTCTTTATAATAATTACGCATCGCTTACCTCAGTGAGGGCCTTTTTATCTGCAACTTTAGCAGACTGCAGCAAACGTATAACATTTTTCGCACCCTCCACCACAGCAGCCTCGATTCGCAACCGATGTCGAAGCTCCTCGACCCTCTCCTCCAGAGCCAACTCCAAACTCGGTTCATATTTGTCTGAAAAATCAATTTGCCATTATAACAATCGTGAATCCAACGAAAACCACTGGAAATGAGGAAATGTGTTACCTTTACCAGTCGTAGACTCGCCATTGGAAAGTGGCGCATCGCCTCGGGCGTGCTGTTGCTGTCTCGCCTGTCTAACCTTCATTATCCTCATCCTGAGAAACTCAATCTTGGCTCTCGAATCATCCAGCATCTGCTGCGCCTCTTGGAGAAGTTTTTTGTCCCTGTGACCACTCGTCAAACTCTGAATCATGTTCTCAGCGCCCTGTTTCACCTTGAGCTCGATATTAAGCTGCTTCTCCAGAGTCATTATCCTCAAATCAGTGATGAGACCCTCCTGACTCGGTGATGACGAGTCCATCGGCGATAATGGTGTTTCTGTTAGAACATAAATCCCAACTTGTAGAGCAAAATTAGATCGAAATTTGTTTGAAGAGGAGAAGAGTGAAAACAAACAATTCACCTTGGCCATTGGAATAATCACGCTGGGGCGACTGGGGTTGGCCCTGAGTGAGGATTATTTGGCTCTCAAGCTGGTGCAATTCCGCCTGCAACTCATTCAATTTACTATTCGCCTTCTTAACAATCATCGCAACGTCGGATAACGCTTTTCTGTCAGTTGCAACTCCTTTCAATTTCTCAGCTCCAGCCTTAATCTTCAATTCTTTACGAATTTCCCTCCTAATATGCTCACGCAGCTCATCTAGTCTGGCCGGTAGTGGCTGATCATTAACCGAGACTCCATACTTGTGGGACAGTTCAGCAAGAACTGGTTGTCGCGAATAGTCATTCTGAAAATTAGTCACATCCTCATATCAAAGTCCTATCCGATGCAATTGGATGTTTTATCATCATCGCTCATACAGTGAGATGAGCTATTAGAGAGGAGGTCGGTGCAAACAGCATTTCCTTTTTTTGTAATTTAAGGATATTTCCTCAGGGTTTAAACGTGACCTTTGAGAATTTTTTCTTTGAGTGAAATCATTTTTTCAAGTTTTAAAGCGATTGCGAGATGTTGAGGATTTGAAAAGGTTCATTTTAGTTTACCTCCCCCTACAATGTGTTGAAATAAAAAAGGAACAGGGAAAAGAAGAGATTATTACTCATCCACTGAAATGAATTACTGGAGAAAAGGAGGATAAAATGTATTTTCAATCTTCAATATGTTTCCATACTCATAAATGATCCATAATTGACCATGAAGCTGAAACTAGCAGAATATTCGTCAGCGGAAAATCCAATTTAGGGGACATTTAAGTGTAGGAGAGTCAAATAATCATATGTACAAATGTTTTTCAAGTGCGAAAGAGTTTGTGCATCACTTGAAAAAGTTTCTACACGCCTAGATTCGTCTAAGACAAATCATTAGCTGTCGAATCTTTCGCTAGTTTCAGCTTCATTAATTCACCGAAATCACCTGATGTCATCAACAGACAATTCAATAGGGTTTATTTTATTTAGGATAATTCAAGGAAAACAAGGGACAATTACTCATCCACTAGATGAATGACTAGAGAAAACAAGTGCAAAACCTATCATTTTCAATCTTCAATAACTCAGCATCAGTAGAGTAAACTCCAGCCATTTTTCTCAGTTTACGAATATATTTCCATACTGAAAAGTGATCCATAATTCACCCAAATCGCCCGATGTCATCAACAGCCTCATAATTCAAGTGTTCACACCCCACCACCCCTTCAACATAATCAAAATAAAAAAGGAGACAGCCCGAAACATTGCGCCTCCAGCCTTAGCATTGGTCTCGTCTAAATGTTCGTGAACAATTAACTCATCCTCTCAATTATCCCCCCACCCATCTTTATCGTGATCCATCAAACGAGTGCATCAACCAGTCGAGCGAAAATTTCGAGGCTATATAAATCCCTGGATGGGTTTTACAAAACCCCCAGACGGTTCTCGAGAGGAAACAAGCCGAGCAGACGAGACGATGAAAAAACGAGTGGAGAAGGAGGTGAGGAGTGGATGGAATACGTTTACGAGAGACCAAAAGAATGATGAAACTAATAGGGTGGGGAGGAGAGGGCGGGAGGGCAGCAGGGGAAGGGAGGAGGAGGCAAGTGTACGTTTGACTCGTACATCCGTCAAAGAGCGATTGATACAGTCGCCAGGGCTTCCTAACTGAAGAGTTGAGGGACTGATTGTGATGATAATTCGCTGGGTTTTGGGGGGCCAACGAGCTGGAGATAAGGCAAATGTCGGGGTTTGGGGGGGATATCGAGGGGAATTGAGTTCTAACCGTGGACTCACCTGATAATAGCTCGACTCCGCCATCTTGCCCACTGGTTTAGCTCTTCACCGACGACTTTCTATCCGTCCTTTGTGCAGCAATACAACTCGCTCATCGTTCGTTAACTCTTGATTATCCGGGGAATATGTTTTATTGTCACTGGGGAAAACATTACTGAGGGCTTTTGGAGTCACTCGTGTCCCTGCTTTTCTCGAAATTTCACCTGTAGGGTGTCCAGAGCACTGGCGCGCACCTCGGGCTCCTCTTGGTCCTTCGGGTAATTTTTTTTTGGTCACTTTGATTTTTTTGGATCGCTCGAGGGGCTGGGCTGTCTGCGGGGCTTTGTTTTGATTTTTTGGGGATTTCGGGGACTGGGAGGAGGGTTTTCAGCGGTTAATACACGTTTGCGGATTCCCGGGAGATACAAAGACACAACCGCATTCCACCGCACTGGACGGCTGTGGACGGCTTACTGACGGTGCTGTGGAAATTACGTCCGCCAATCGGTGATTCTGTATTCGATCCTGCAGGCACCCACGTGACACAGCGGCCAATCCGCGGGTTGGGAGAGCGTGGGTGGCCGGTGATCGAGATATTTTCATCGATAGGTGAAACATGCCGGGAATATTTGAATTTAATGGATCGAATTTTATAGATTATTGTTAGAGATGAATAGATCACATTGTTTTTGGTCCAGGGAGCCAGGGCTTGTAGCTTCAAATACACATCGGTTTCCTAATTTTCCGCTGATTAGAAGTAATTGCATTTCACTTGTATCAAGCGTACTCCACGCTTGGAAACAAAAGGGCCCCGTCCCTGAGGGGTTAAAATTCTAAAGGAGCACTTGTGAATAATAACTGCTACGAAAGATAAAAACGGAAAGAAAGCATCCGTAAAAATCGAAAGGTATACAATACTGCGAATTCGATAAGAACCATTGGAAACTAAATATAAAAAATGTTGATCGAATACTTTATTGGGATACAAGTTTGTCGAGCAGATCCTCAGGTGTTCTCACGAACAACCCAGCAGGATTTTGATACTGATTCTTCGAATCATGACAGGCATCATAAAGTTGTTTATAAATCGCCCCAATAACTTGAAATGATCTCTTCAACGCTGTCGAACGATGATTGCTATTCTGAAGGAGACTTATCTGCGGAAGGAGGAAGGCATCAGACATCAGAAGAAAAGACTCCAATTTATTCTGAAAACAAACCAAAAAACAAAACAACAAATAGTCATCGAGTGTCAATTAAATCACCAGAAACTGAATTTTCAACTCACAGTGAACTCCTTCACACTAACTGGATCCATCCCGGGGATTGCGGAGAGGGGGCCGTGCTCCCTGCCCTGGAGAATAGTGTAGATCGGCCCCAGATTGAGATTAGCCACAAGAGAACTCGCTAATTCAGACGTGAGGGTGTCTATTTGAGCATCCGATTGGGCCTGGAGCCTCTCCAGCCTCTGATCCATGTATTCGTAGAGGGATAAGGTTGAATGGATTTGATGGAGGCAATTCAATAGGTAGACCGCCATGTCCACTGCTGGAAGCCTTGTTGCAGTCTCATCGACTTCTTGGAGTAGTGGATCAATTATACAAGAGACAATCTAAATAATAAATCCAAAAATCAACACCAAGACATTGAAAAGAGAACTAGAATGTTAAAAAAAACTCCATTTGATTCCAAATTTTCTCTTTAATTTTTGAAAAATATCATCATCATCATCATTATTATTATCATTATTATTAGTTAAAAATAAATGATTACGGTAAAATTTTAAAAATTCATTTGTAAATTCTTATAAATTCTTTCTCAAATTGAATTAAATTAGTTTCTCCCTCCCAATTACATAAAAGGAGTATCATTTTACGTACCCTCTGAATGTCCTTCTCCCTGTCGTCTCCAGTGACAATCAACGCAACTGACAAAACATCGCTCAAAAGCCCCAGAAGCCTAGAAACAGATGCAGCAGGGACGAGATCCTGCCCAGGCGGTTCAGCACGATCTCCCAGTGCTGTGCGAGTCTCCTTCTGCAGCCTGGCATTGAAACTCTTCTCACTGAGCTCCAGAAGTTCACTCAACGTGTTCACCAAGACACTTTCGGGTATGATATCAGATAGAATGGCGAGGTAATATCGAATGAGTGACATCACTGAGTATAGTACAGTGGCAGGTGCCTCTACGTCGAGTAGATGTTCTATTCTGGATTTCAGGGGGTGGCAGAGGCCCTCTGTGATGTTTCCCAGGGCGTGTTTCACCTGGTCTGAGACATCTGGGGAATCCAGAGGAACAAATGAATGAAGTGAATGAATGAATGATTTTTTTTTGGAAATTGGGGAGTGATAGGAGTTACCTGTTTTGTCACATGCCTTCAAGAGTGTCAAAATATTCTCCTTTTCAACTGGAATTGCCTGGTGCAGCCAGGCCAGCATATCCCCCACGTATCTAAAATGGAAATAATGATGAAATGAAAATGGGCCTCTAATATTATTGAGTACTGGAGTTGTTAGTGTTCTTTCGTATTCATTTCAAATGTGTAATAAATTTTGAAGGATAGGAGAAAGAGTAAATAGGAATAGGCCAGTGGGAGAATAATTAAGTTATTATACAGTTAAGAGATAGTAGACTAAAATTAAATATTTGAATTACATGAAGTTGAATTAAAAACAACACTATTACAGATAAGTGAGAGGCGAAGAAAGACTAGTGTGGATGTAAAACAAAACAATTGTAACATCAAGGGAAATAAATGAAATTTAATTAAGTAGCGAAGTGGTAAAACGGTTCAAGTCGTCTCATCTCTTAGTTGAGTTTTTGAGGAATATCTCTGAATCTAAGGGAGATAATGGAATTTTCGTAATAACCTTTTTTCTAGAGCAAATTGAGTGCTACAAAAAACACCTCGATAAAAATTTAGCAATCTCCCTTAGATTTCGAGATATTCATTAAAAACTGGCCAGTAGTCAAAATCGACTTGAACCGTTTTACCACTTCGCTATTGAATTGAATATTTCATCGAGATTGGGCCCGATAAAGCGTATTGTTATTTATCCACGTACCTCGTAGGATCATCAGCCCTCATCTCAATAGGATTAGGCGTCCCCCCGGTCTTGCTCCCCAGTGTCAATGCATCAATGAAAGCCCCAACAATAACAGCCCTCCTGGCAGTGCAATACTCATCGATAATATATTTAAACAACACAGGTCTGTCCTGCAGCTTGCACATCCCCTTTATCAACAGAGGAGCGAAATGATCGTGCTCAATATGCCTGCACTGGTTTTGCGTCCATCTGTACAATCTCTCCAACGCAGCTTCCTGCAGCAACGTCATCCTCTGCATGACGTCTAACCCAAGGGTCTGATACCCAGACTGCATGAGGATCCTGCAGCTGCTGTGGATCGTCTGGAGACGATTGATCACAGTGAAGAACTCCTCGGTAATGGGCTCTTCTCTCGTCTGCCCATGGAGGATCGAAATCTCGTGCCTCGAGAGCTCGAACGTCCTTATGAAGGCCGTCGCCACTTCGTGCTGCATCGACAGCTTCTTACTCTCGTTCTGGAGCTTCGTGGTTCGATCTATGAGGCTCAGCGTCTGCGTCTTCGTGGCTTGCAGACGACTCGTCATCGATTGGATCGAGTTGTTCATCCCAAGGACATCGCGGTGAATGTCGTCCAGGGTGGATTTCACTTCCCTGAAGGCTGAGAGGAATTCTTCGTTTATTGCCAGACTCCGTTTCTCTATTTTACTGCGGAGATTGCGACGGTTGTTCAATGTGTTCTCGGGGAAGAAGGTGGAGAGCTCCTTCAAGGCCTCCAGTGTGTCCTGGAAGGTTTTAGGGGGTCGTAAGTGGTGAGTGAGGCTTTCTTATTGTGCAATGTTGAGGATTTTTGGGGGAAATTTGCAGTTAAGTTCTTGGAAAGTTATATCAACCAGTTCCACTAAATATTCAAGAATTTATTTTATATAAAAAGAGGTCACACGTTTATTTTTAATGTCTGAAACAGAAATCGTATACGTTAAAGAAACTATTCATTCCAATCAATTTAAATAATAACATGATGAATCATAGAAAATCTATCAAATTGTCAGGGGCGCGTTCATTAAAAATTCTCAATTTGGTGAAAAATTAATGGAAATTTTACATTCTAGATCAATTATACCATTAAAATAAATAGAAATCAAGAAAATTGAGATAAATATATTCTCGAATATTCAATTAATTTGTAATTCAATGTAATTAGGTACTAAATATTCATGTTTTGTTTGAGAATGCAAATAAATACAGAATAACAACTGAGAATTCGGGAATTCTCATCTTCTTGCTATTAAAAAATTTGGAAATGCATTGAATTTCCAGTGAAATCTGAATTTTCATTATTTCTTCCCCTCTAAATGGAATTTAATTTTTTTCTAACAATGATTGCGCAGTTTCGGAGCAGAATGGACCGTTTTCAATCGTCAGTAACTCCACATCTCTACAATGAAATTGAACGATTTTTTTTCACTATAAAAATAATTCTCCAGGCTTCAAACTGACACTCAATTCACCCAAATTGAATCGTAGAGACAAAACATATTGTCAATCTAGAAACGTTAATCATACCTCACCTTATCCTGGCTTCATTACCTTGTCATTTTCCGGTCGAGACTCCAGGAGTTTATTCACTCGTTTCACGAGGGAAGAGTTGGAATTTTTATCGCCCATCGCTGCCATTTCATAATAAAACAATAGGAGAACTTCCTAACAATCGAGTTTATTTATATTCGTGGCTGGTTGGGACTGTCACGTCAGCTAGCAGCTGATGTCGCCACAATATTTCTTATTTACCAGCCGAGCCAATCGTTTTGCCGGCGGGGAGCAGTTCCAATTAGCCGACAAAAAACTATTTTCAAATAAATGACCCTATAGAATCGTTTGTAATTCGTTAGCAGGTCATTGTACATCCCTTTTTAACGTTTAAGAGTTAATGGATCTTTTTCAATTAATTAATCCAGATCATGCATGAATCTAGCATGGGTTCCCTGGTTATGAGGTTATGTACTATCAGTTCAAAAACAAACACAGAGGATCTCCTGGAGTGTTCATCATTAAAATAGTTTAGCACCGATGATTGTTATGTTTTCATAATGATATTGTTAACTTGTCTGACTATTGAAAGATGCACCAGACGTACATATCACTGGGTTATGAGCTGAGAACCGAATTGTCTTAATTGAGTTCAAGTTTTCCATGATTTTATTGGGTGAAGAAAAGTTGAAGGTAAGTAAAATAGAGCATAATATAGCTAAAAAAAAATGATGACCATTATCTATAAACAGAAAAAAAGTTCCCATGTAGATTTAAATCGGTCCCCATTTTTTCTAGAGAACTTGTCCAAAACAGAATGTGTCCATCTGAAATTGTTCAAAAGACCTACCCCCACGCCGTGAGTAAGCGGGAAAATCCTTGCGCAACATCTTTGCGCACATCAAAAATGGCCAACAAGTTCTGAGGCTTTGCCGTTCGTCTCCGGATTTTATTCGAAAATCAAGGGTAAAATCGTTAAAATAATTCGTAAAAATGCTATAATTAGTTGATAATACGGGATAATAATAATTTGATCATCAAATCAACGATTATTCCGATGAATTGCGGATGTTAGAATGTAAAAACAAAAATTGCCAGGCGAGAATGGGAAAAATCTCTGCGCAACATCTCTGCGCACATCAAAAATGGCCGACTAGTCTCGAGGCTTTGGTGTTCGTCTCCGGATTTTATCCGAAAATCAAGGGTAAAATCATTAAAATAATTCTTAAAAATGCTGTAATTAGTTGACAACAATGGACAACAATAGTTTGGCCATGAAATCAACGATTATTCCGATGAATTGCGGTGTTGGAACGTAAAAACAAAAATTGCCACGAGAGAATGAGAAAAATCTCTACGCAACATCTCTGCGCACAACAAAAATGGCCGANGTAAAAACAAAAATTGCCAGGAGAGAATGGGAAAAATCTCTGCGCAACATCTCTGCGCACAACAAAAATGGCCGACTAGTCTCGAGGCTTCGGCGTTCGTCTCCGGATTTTATCCGAAATCAAGGGTAAAATCATTGAAATAATTCTTAAAAAAGCTGTAATTAGTTTATAATAATAGAGAACAATAATTTGATCATCAAATCAACGATTATTTCGATGAATTGCGGGTTTTAAAACGTAAAAACAGAAATATACATGAGAACACAGTAAAAACGTATGCGCAACGTCTTTGCGCAGATTCAAAGTGGCTGCCCTGATGTTCCTTGGCGATGACCGCAGTATTGTCGAAGAAATTACTCGTAAAATCGGCGAAAGTAATTAACAATCTGATAATTAATTAATTAATAATAATAATGGACAGTCACAATGGTACAAGGCAATGGTTGCATAGTTCGATAAATTACGAAATTTAAAACGATATGAACATCTCGAATGGTGAAAATCAGGAATCTCCATGTGACCGACGTATTTGTGACACCACGAGATGACGCCTGGAGGCAATACTGGAAGAATCCAGTGTTTGTGGACAGTTTTGATAGATACAATGACTCTTTAAAAAATTCAAAACGTGATAAACCTAGTTGATGAGTGAAATCAGTGGACACAGGAATTTATTAGAATGTTAGTGTTGTGAATTGTGATGTTTTCTTTTGTGAATCAAGTGATGAAGTGTTCTCTGGAATTTCTTTGTCGATGTGTGTATAAATACGTAAGATGGCAGTTTCAGTCATGTTAGTGCGGTTTTTAATTTCGAAAGTGTTTAGTGTAAGTGATCTTCATGGGGACGAGCTTCTGGAGCCATTGGAGCGCATATCGAGGTCTAGATGAGGATTTCAGCGCCCGGTGAGTCACTAAAATTAACAATTGAAAGTTGAAATTTTTCACCGGTCAATATCTCGAGAATGACTGGCGCAATTTCAACAAATTTTATTTCATTTCATCAAAGCACTGAAATGATTCTATTTTTTAATTTTCGAATTTTGCTTGGAAATGATGTAAAATGGTCTAAAACGTAAAAATCCGAAGTTTTACGGCCATGCGTGTATGAGCGACGGTCGACCTCTGGTAGTCAACTTTTCGAAAATCGAAGAATTAAAGGACCAACCAAATTCAAAATTTTTCAAATTTTGTCAGGATATAGGTATGAATAAGGAGTCTGTGCTAAGGTGCTGCCCAATCGGGCCAGCTGTTTTGGAGAAATCTTCATTCGTTTCTAAATACTTTTTTGAAAATTTTTCGAAAACTGTGACCGATTTCAATAATTTTTTTTCTTCAAAATATTCGTCTCAATGTCCTCTGTTTTAATCGATCAAGATATGCATACCGGTTCAGGCAAAATTTCCAAGATATCGTAATTGTTCGGTTTTTTCGCTCAAAATGCTTGTGCGTACTCTAACTTTTGGAAAAATCGACATATTAACTTCTAATTAGGCATGCTCCCGGTTTTCATTAGAGCAGTAAATTTCTATAGTCAACTTGACGGGGCGGGAAGGGGGCCCGCTTCACCGTGAAGAAGAACAATGATCGGACTCGTTTATGAATGTTATTTACGAAGTAAAGGCGTCATATGCCATTTGGGTTCCCTATAGGCAGATGCAAGGCTCAGAATTGCGTTTTTCCTTCTCCTACAGCCTATAAAATATGAATTGAATTTTTTTTTTTTGGCGAGGAATTTGGGTTTCTCAGGGAACTCAAATAGAAATTGGAATAGGTTTCAAGGCTCTATCTCTCATAGTTTCCAAGATAATCGCGAAAAACGAAATCGTCAAAAAAAATTAATTTAATTATTTTGTATAGGGTGTGGGAAGTGGAAAAACGCAATTCTGAGCCGTCCATCTATCTATACGGAACCCAAATTTCCTTAGGAATCGAATGGAATAAGTTTTAAGGCTCTATCTCTCATAGTTTCCGAGATAATCGCGAAAAACCAAAGTCCCAAAAAAAATTAATTTAATTATTTTGTATAGGGTGTGGGAAGTGGAAAACGCAATTCTGAGCCGTCCATCTATCTATAGGGAACCCAAATTTCCTTAGGAATCGAATGGAATAAGTTCCAAGGCTCTATCTCTCATAGTTTCCGCGATAATCTCGAAAAACGGAAGTGCCAAAAAAAATTAATTTAATTCATGTTGTACAGGGTGTAGGAAG